TTTGTGAAGGTGCTTGTATTCTCTAACGCAGCCTTATGAGTTTTAATTTTCATGTACCCTCTTCTTATTTTCTATTTCTTGGTCTCAAAGAAGGATTTCACATAGCTCCCACATTATTTCTTAACTCTTTCGATTTTTTTGTGTGCATTTTCTCATTTTGTCTTCACTTTCCATGTCTAAGAACTTGATGAGCGAATGCGGGATTTAAAAACTGAGCTCCAGTCATTTGAAGGAGATGAACATGATGAGATTCACAAGAAAAAAGCGATTGATGCACTAAAACGAATGGAGAGCTGGAATTTGTTTAGCGATGAGCATGAGGTATTTTCTTGGTCCCACGGCTTTTTTCTTCTGCTGCTATCTCCCTTGCTGGTTTGAGGATTTTCTCAGTAAAGGGGATTGGAATCATAATGTATCAGTTTTATATAAGAAAATGTGACACATTGCATTGTGATGTCCACTGCACAGGAGTTCCAAAATTACACAGTTGCACGTGATACGTTCCTTGCACATTTGGGTTCTACTCTGTGGGGATCAATGAGACATATAATATCACCCTCAGTTGCTGATGGTGCATTTCATCATTATGAGAAGATATCTTTTCAGCTGATCTTCATCACACAAGAGGTATGTTCATGTCAAATGGGTGTAAAGGGTTTCCCATCAGGTCTAGCATATTTGTCTTATAATCTAAAGTCACTAGGATAAAGACATGTATGGGATGAACAAAACGTAAGATTATAGAATATATTATGTCCTTTTATTCTGAAAGGTTATGTAACTTATGTCTGAGAATGGAATACTATTGCTAAAAAGCATAAGCACTTCATCCTGCCAGTATCATTGCCTGATTTTTTTTCAATCTCGTTTCTATAGATGCTGAAAAGAGGTCTTCACCCTGTAACTTTATTTGATGTAGAAAGTTCGACAAATCAAACAGCTGCCAGTGGACCTCAAGGCCCTCATGGATGGACTTTCTTCACTGTTGTTACCTTCTCAGAAGCCTATGTTCAGCCAGCATATGTATGTACTGAAAGGATTTTAGTTCTTAAGTTTTACAACCGCCTGCGTAACTTATTACTATTACGCTTGATCTTTCTGACCCTCTTTGATGAAATGTACCTCAAACTATGGTTAGAACTAGTAGATTGTCTTGGCACCAAGAAAAGAGAGAAATATTTTTTATTATTCTTAGGTTGTTTTTCTTTTCATCTGATTTCTATATGCAACTTCGATCTATATTGAAGTGTCGATAACAATTTTCATAGGTTAACGCTCTCTGAGGATCCAGCCTTGGCTATGGCTTTTTCAGTAGCCCGAAGGGCAGCAGCTGTACCTCTATTGCTTGTTAATGGAACTTACCGGAAGACTGTTCGTTCATATCTTGATTCTTCAATCCTGCAGTATCAATTACAGAGACTGAACGATCACACTTCCCTTAAAGGTCAGCTAAGAACAGAAACTTTCTCTGTTAAAAGTAATTTTTGTGAAGTAGTTTCCGTTGATCCGTTTTGTTGTAATATAAAATGAAGCCTTTCCGTGATGCTTAGCTAGAAACTGTTTACTACTAGTAAAAGTGCTTTGGTGTTCCTTTATTCTGTCGAAATTTATTTAATGTAGATACTATGGATCACACATCTATATAGATGATTACTGTTGAGACTATTTGCTACATGCATTGGTTGATGTGATACATCGTGATTGACATTGACACTGTGAACCATCCTTGTATACAACTCAGGAGGTCATGCCCACAGCAGGTCAACTCTTGAGGTTCCTATCTTTTGGCTCATCAATGGGGATCCGCTGCTGATTGACAAGCATTATCAAGCAAAGGCGCTTTCAAATATGGTCGTTGTTGTTCAGTCGGAGGCATCTTCATGGGAGAGCCATTTGCAATGCAACGGGCGATCACTTTTATGGGATCTAAGGTTATAACACACACATGTTTGATTAAAATTTGAGCATCATCCGCGACTTAGTGTAGATGAGTCTTTCCTGATTCCTTCATCTTTATCACATAGGACCCCGATGAAAGCGGCCATGGCTTCTGTTGCTGAACATCTAGCCGGATTGCTTCCTCTTCATCTTGTCTACAGTGTAGCTCATGAAAGTGCAATTGAGGTATAAGTTATGCTTAAAGATTATACCAGATAGCATTGCGTTGTCGTTTCATGAATATTTTTCTGTTGCTGGTAACAACTGCAATCTTGTGAACCGAGCACAGATACTGATTATAATCTTCAGGCAAAAGAAGCTGATGGTCTGTTTTGGCATCTTAAAAAAATTGTGTTTCACAGGACTGGACATGGTCAGTGGGTTGCAATCCCTTTTCCATAACTTCTCAAGGTTGGCACCTTTCACAGTTTCAATCTGACACCATTGGCCGGAGCTATATGATTACGGCGCTTGAAGAATCAATACAAGCAGTCAATTCAGGGATTCATCTTCTGCGTCTGGAGCGAACGAGTATCCTTTGGATATTTTTTTATATATATGTTTTATGCCTGTAGAACAGTAGAGGTTTTGACTTAGAAGTATAAAGAACTTGTATTGGCTGCTCGTCATTATATGTGCTTGTGTTCTTATCCTTGACTCAGAATCAAGATGAAAAATCATTTAAGCCCTTCAAATCGAGGGAACGTGAGCTGATGAACAAGTATAAGTACGTGGTTAGCCTGTGGAGACGAGTGAGTTCACATCTATTCCTTTGATTTGCTTTCTTCGGTTATGAAAAACCTGTGTTGCTGGAAGGCTTGAAATGATGTGTATGTTATATACTAACAGCTTTCGACTATTGCGGGAGAAACACGTTATGGGGATGCCATGAGATTTCTGTATACCTTAGAGGAAGCCACAAGCGGGTTAGTACACTTTTTACACTTTGCTGCTACAGTTTAAAAGGAATGATTGCTAATCAATCAGGCTTTCATTTATATATCAGATTCTTAAAGGAAGTGAATGCAACGGTGGACGTTCTGCACCCAATTCACTGCACAAAAATGAGGAAGGTGAAAGTGGAAATGGACATGACCACAATTCCTGCCTTGTTCGTAGTTGTGATTCTTCTTTACGCTGTCTTCAAGCCAAGAGCTCCTAAGCCAAAAATCAACTGATGTCTCAAAATATAAAACGAAGAAAATCCCATACAAGTTTTTTTTTGTCCCTTTCTGAAACAGAGTTTCATCACTCTTTTTGTAGCTCAGTTGGGCAAGAATTGTTGTAATCTATATCTGATCCGTTACGGGAATTGCAAATGTAGAACTTACGCAAAGTTGGTAGTTGAAGAGATAAATAATAGACAAGATCGAAAGAAAAGAGCCTTGTTTTGTGTGTGTTTGGGTCACCAGTGGGCCCTTTGGAGGTGACGAGAGCAGCATCTTTAGCCAATCTCGGAATAACAAAGACTCGTAAGAAAATAATAGAAAAATTGGATCTGAGGCTGGAAAGTTCCCGAGGCATCGGAGGAACCCTAAATTGAATGAGAAGGAGCGAGTGAGAGAGGAGAGAGAAAGAGAGAGTCAAGTGATGGAGAGAGAGGAGGAGAAGAAGAAAGAGGAAGGATCATCGTATAGGTATTGGGTGAGGGAAGCAACAGCAGACGCAGCTCCTCCTCCTCTTCCCCAGAAGCTCACCAATAACGACGTCGTTCCTAATGCTCCTTCCCTGGGCTCGCTCTGGAATCAGGTTTTCCCTATTCTTCTTACACCTGTTTTAACCATTCTTGTCCTTTTCATTCTCTTATCTGATCTGCTTTCACTCTTGTCTTGTTTACATAGGCTGGCACCTGGGAGGAAAAGAGTCTTACCAAATGGGCCACCGAGCGATTAAAGGTTTCTACTTCTCTTCTTTGTTGTTTGTTTATCTTTTGCGTTTCTCTGGCAATGTTTGAGTATTTTTGGTACTTTAAAATCGTGCTGGCAGGAGCTGCTGGGATCAGTTGGTTCATTGCAATTCTCTTCTGGAAAAGCTGAGATTATAGATGTTAACAGATGCGTTGGAGATGTGAGTTTCCTCTCCTTATTAATCATCTCCTCTCTCTCTCTCTCTCTCTCTCTCTCTCTCTCTCTCTCTCTCTCTCTCTCCCCTTGTATTCTCTATGTTTGTACTCCATTTATGATCCCTTCTTCTTCCTCCGCCTCGCTAGGCTTTCTTAGTCACAGTTCGGAACAAGAAACGAGTTGGCTATACTTATGAGCTTTCCCTAAAAGTCGAGGGTAAGACTCTCCACTTATATTTTACATTGTAGAATTCATTTTGTATATGTGTTGATAAAAGAATAGACCTTTATCTCCATTCCCATAAATTCCAGTCTTTAGATTCGGATATATTGCATTTGAGTTTTATAGTTGATAATTATCTTTTCATTCTCTTTGTTCGTGTGTAAATACAACTTATTTGCGTACATGACTGGCGATTTCCTCAGGAGAGTGGTCATTTGAAGACAACATGAAGAAGGTGAAGGGGAGCCTTGACATTCCTGAGTTCTCATTCGGAGAGCTTGATGATCTTGAGGTAAACTTTATGCATAGACTTTGATATGGTTAGTGAAGGATGTTAAGATATGTGAATGGTATACTCATACACACTTTTTGCAATGAGCAGGTGGATGTGAAGCTCGGCGAAGACAAAGAGCTTTCCCAGCAACTGAAGCAGCGGGTTAGGCTGGATATGAAGCAGTTCCTGGACCCTATACGCCTGAAACTCGGCCAGTTCGAGCAGGAACTCAAAGATCGATAGGGATTGGTTGTTATCATTGTCTTCTTCTTTTCCTTTCAGTTCAGCCATTTTTAGTTATCATCGAAAACTTGGTTAAACATTATATTGCATCTTACAGGTTTTTGTATTCATGCTTCATCTGTTTACCAACATCTACGTTGATTGTCGAAGTTCATTTCATCAATCAGCTTTTTAGCCTTTCTACCTAATGGCAAATGCTTCCATACTAGTGTACGTGAATGACTTAAATAAAAAAGGCATTGTATAAAGAACAAAACTGCAGAGGAACAAATAAATGATTTGAAGAGACTATTCTGTTACAATCTTAACTCATTCTTCACTTTTCTTCTTTCTTCTGGGCTCGCTCAATGCCTTCTTAGCCTTTGCCCACTCTTTCAACGAAGTTGCGCTTCTCATAAAAGTGCAAGTCTCTCCTGAGCCAATCTTTCTCCTAATCGGCATCTTCGCAGCCAATTTACATCCCTCTCTGACATTCTTACCCTTCAGACTCTGCCGATTCTCTTCTAAACTTCTCACAGGGGTACTATCCACCTGGACTCCTGCAGCTTCAAAACTAGCGGTGCTACACGAGTTATCCCTTTGTTTCATTCCACTTTCACTCTGGTTAAAGTTGGAGAACTGGCCATCTCCATTGTTGTTCACTCTAGCTGCTTCGTTCTTGTCAGAAGCTAAATCCGGGAAGAGTTGAGTTATACTGAATGAAGCACTCCTGTCGCTAACCAGCTGAGTCCATGATGCCCTTTGAAGCCATGAAGAACCTCCTGTTGACTTGCTACGAGCTTCCAAGGATGCTTTCCCTGCCTCGTCTTTGTCCACATCATGATCCACATTATCCTTCAAGTCTAAGCTTTCCTTTTCTGCATTCAAATCCTCTGCTACATTCTCATCCGTTTCCACATTCAAATTGTCATTCTCACAATCGTTCTCAGTGCTTGCTTCCAGGGGTTCCGCTTCCACACTTATGTCAGTAACAATATCATTCTTCTCTATGTCATCCTCAGCAGCTACATTCTCTGCAATGATTGTAGAAGTTATGCGCTTACGTTTCGTCTTCTTGATCTTAGTCACAGTCGGCCTTTCAGTAGAGTTGGGCACATCGAACTCCTCTGAATTCTCTTGGCTAGGCAACCCGGCAAGATCAGTGTTGCCGGATGCAGATTGTACTGCTTTATTGGAGCCAACACCTGGCAAGAAACTGGATACGGTAAAATGATTGCTGTTCCCATTGGCCACAAGTGCTTTCCAGGAAGACTTTTGGGACCAAGAAATATTGTCAGTCGACCGCTTGACACCTATTTTCCTGCTAGGTTCATCCGTTGACTTATTCGGATCGACTTCAGAAGGTTTCTTCTTTTCACTTATGGTCTGTGAAGATTCCTGTCTCCCATTTTTCTCCAGGATGATTGATTGCCTTTTTTTCTTTGGATGAACGTTGTTTCCCTTTCGTCCCTCAATATATCCTGCTCCACTTGCTTCATTGAGAGTTGATTTCTGAGTTAAGATCAAAGAAAAGAGCCAGATCAGGGATAACGTAGGTGGATGACAAATTATAGGGGTAAGGAAAATTGAAAGTCAACAGCTTCAAATACCCGCTTTCTTGACAAGATATCCAGCTCCGAGTCCATCATATCGTTCCCATTAGATACCACATTGATGATGAGGTTATCGTTGTTATCATTGAGGATGAGGTTATCGTTGTTATCATTGTTATCGTTGTCATTGTTCTCAAAGAGCTTAGACATCACCGAGTTCATAATATTCACTTCTTCTTCGTTTATTCCCACATTAAGTGCTTCCAGATCACGCACATGGGTTTCCCGAGGAGTGAGAGACGCAGAGTGCTCTTCACAATCGCAAAAGGTCTTGGGAAGAGAAGACGGCACTGAAACACGCTGGAAGCTATACTTATGTTTGCCAGTTCCACTAAGTGGCAGAGATTTCACCTGCACCAAACCAAAAAAGTATACTCAATCCTAATCTCCTACTCCTAGTTACTATACCATGTTCTATGTCACAAATATCCAAGGAGCTTTTGGTACCTTTCTGAGTCTAGGGATGAAGATGTTAATCTGAGTTGAAGGGGTGAACTTTTCGGGAGCTTTAATGGTGTCATCAGGTGTGGAAGCTGACTCTTCCCATCCCCGCCTCAAGCGAGCTAGATAATGCTCTTTGGCTTTCTCCAGTCGCAGCTTCCCTCCTTTCCAGATACATCCGTTATACTGCGAAAATCGAATTCGAGTTAAGAGAAAGAGAGAAGAGAAGAGGTAAAGAAGGGAGAGATCGAATCTGCTCACCGTGGAGAAGAGCTTGGTGAGGGACTTGTCGGAGGAGGGAGAGAAGTCGATGTAAGCGAAGGAGCGTCCTTTGGTCCTGACGAATTCGACAGAATCAACTGAACCCATGGGAGAGAAGATCTTGAGAAGATCGTCTTTCCCGACGCTTTCTCCCAGTCCTCCGACGTGAAGCCTAACGCCGCCGCCGCTTCCGCCTCCCTCCATTTTTTTTTCCTCTGCTGCTCGCTTCAGTTTCTCCTTCGTCTTCCCCGACTTTTACATGTTAAGAACTAGGCCCATTATTGAGTACTTAATGGGCTTTTAGCGGGAAAAAGAAGAGGTCCAGGAAAAACAATTTATATTTTGATGAGGTTTTTGGGGTCCCGTTTATTAATTTCTTCAGCATTATTTGAAACAGACATCACAAATTGTGGTTTCGTCGTCTGCGAAAGGATCTGGGAGTGAAGATACAGTCGTTTTCTCAAACGTGTTCGTCTTCCGTCTAATCAAATGGCGCGTGTGCTACTACACTCGTAAGTTACTGGGTTCGAATTTTTGATTTCGATTATACATTTACCGAACTGAGAAGAGCATGTCGTTTTTTGTCAATGAATTATTGTAATGGAACTGGAGAATGTGTAATAAATTAGTGGTGATGATGAAGAAAATTGGAAGGAATAGGGAATGATGAACAAGAGTGCACGTATATAGGGGAAACAGAGTTGTGTGGTCCTTTATAAGGGAAAAAATGGGTCCATGTGAGTTTTGAATAAAGATAGCGATGTCTATCCTCCCAGGCTTCCGCATCGCTCATTTGCAGCCTCAGAAACATGATTGGTTTGATAAAACTATAATTGAGTTAAGTACAGTTGTAGTTTTTATTGCCTAACTCTCAAAGTTTTTTTTTTTTCATCGTCTTTGCCCTTTTAAAGCCATGTACTATATATCCATGACCTGCAGCTCATAAAGCTACACGTCTGGTATTTTTTTTTCTGTTTATTTTATTAACCTTCATCTTCTTTAACGTGTTTGTTGATTGCTTCCAAACACTTTATTGGCATTTATTGGATGTTCCTGGGAACTACAGGTGTGTCTGCCTCATCCGTCTATCTAACTCTGGTAAACTTGTCTGGTTTTGATTTGCAGCCGATTCATTACTCTGTTTCGCCAAAAGAAAGAGAATAAAGAAACGATATGGAGAGGCCAAGAGCCCCTCCATCTCCCTTGACCGATTTGGAGCCATTAAGTGAACGCAGATCCCTTGAGGTCTTCAACCCCTTGAGTGGAAAAGAGGTAAACGGATCATCATCTTCTTCTTCTTCTTCTTCAAAGCCTCACGATGGAAACGGCAAAGGCAAAAGCAGTAAGTGGATGGAATTTCAAGATTCCGCTAAGTTAGTGGAGAGAACTGCTGAATGGGGATTATCAGCTGTTAAGCCGGACTCAGGAGAAGATGGCATTAGTTTCAAGGTGTCCAGTGAAGTGGAACGAAGCAAGATGTCTAGGAGGTCATCCGAGGAATCAACATCTTCTGATTCAGGGGCCTTCCCTAGAGTATCCCAGGAGCTCAAAACTGCTCTCTCAACGTTGCAGCAGACCTTTGTTGTGTCCGACGCCACACAGCCACACTGTCCTATAGTGTATGCCAGCAGTGGATTCTTCACCATGACTGGTTATTCTTCCAAGGAGATTGTTGGAAGAAACTGGTATGTCTCCTATCATATGTTTTTCTAATTTAATCCTCAATGTCTACTTAGCATAATATTGCTTTTGAAACCCATGCCAACTTACTCTAAAAGGGTCTTAATTTTTGTGGGAAAAACTCCAGCCGGTTTCTGCAAGGGCCGGACACAGACAAGAAAGAGGTTGCCAAAATCAGAGATTGTGTCAAGAATGGAAAAAGTTACTGTGGAAGGCTCTTAAACTACAAAAAGGATGGAACCCCCTTCTGGAATCTTCTCACAGTCACTCCTATCAAAGACGACCAAGGCAACACCATCAAGTTCATTGGGTAACTCCCTTAATCCCTCCCTGTTTTTTTCCTAATCAATCGACTGTCTCCTCTATCAATCATCTTCAAACTTCCATCTGCTTTTGCATTGTTTGTTTCCAGGATGCAGGTTGAAGTAAGCAAATACACAGAAGGCGTAAACGATAAAGCATTGAGGCCTAATGGACTCTCTAAATCCCTAATCCGATATGATGGTTTCTGCTTCCCCGCATCTCTTTATAAAACTAACAAGTTTTCTCTTTTCTTTTGTGTGATGAGAACAATGATATACTTTAGCCAAAAATCAAAAACACTGTTTTTTTTTTTTTTTTTTTTTGTGGGCTGATCCACAAATTTTAACATGTCATCCGCTTGATGATGGTATCAGCTCGCCAGAAGGAGAAAGCTTTGGATTCCATCACAGAGGTCGTGCAAACAATAAAACATCGCAAGTCTCAAGTGCGAGACTCCGTGAGCAATGATGTTATGGTGAGGCTTGATAGTGCTACTACACCTGGTAAACAAGTTATAAAATCAGATGAGGCTTCGAAGTCAGCCAGAACACCTACACGTGTTTCTACTCCAACGAGGTGAGTTCCTTTTCACCATTAGATCCATGATAGTTTCGTAAACATTAAATCCTTAAAGGCATGCATCTTGATCACAAAAGTTTTGATGTAAGTGTTAAAGTTTGCAGAAAAACATCTTGTTTGTTATCATTGCAAATTAGTGTTGAAATGTACAAAACAATCTCAATCCTAAAAGGAACAAGCGATAGAGTTAAGATGTACTTCTAGTCGTTGTGTAAATTCAATTTTTACTATAAATTCAACAAAATTACTCGGATAATGTCCTAGTGCAATATATAATTCCAAACGGAACTTACAACTGCTGCAATGTCCTACTCGTGATATGTTTCTTTTTTTTCTTGTATAATTTTCTAACCTTGTGTTGAGCCTTAGAATGTATCCTCTGACATGGATTGGTTAGTTAATCTGAAGCTGTACGTATATACCCTGAATGATTTGTGATCAATCCTCATGCAATGTGCAGGTCAAAGAGCAAATCGCTTAGCTCGAATAAAAAGCATGAAGATGTTCCGAGTGTGGAACCTGAAGCATTGGTGTTGAGCACAGAAGTAATAGAGCCGAGGGATAGTTTTGACCGTTCAGAAAGAGAAAGGGATATACGCCAAGGGATTGATCTAGCTACCACTCTTGAGCGCATAGAGAAGAATTTCGTCATCAGTGATCCTCGTCTTCCCGATAATCCCATTGTATGTTTATTTCAGTCTAGAAATTGATATGAATGTTCAATTTTGTAGGGTATATTGCTTATATTGATTTTTCTTAGTCAAGTGTGTTACTATGTTTGGTATGTACATGTGGTAAGCATATAAATTTGAAATGATAACGCAAATCGTTTTCTTTGCAGATATTTGCATCAGACAGCTTTCTTGAATTGACAGAGTATACACGCGAGGAGATTTTGGGTAGAAACTGTCGGTATGTGAATATTCTTCTCCTTGAGTCTTTTACTCAGGAAATTCATCATGCCTGTTACTTATGCAGTCTTCTCGGCTGTGCTTTTCTTATTTTTGTGATATGAATTTGTTTAAAGTGGTTGGCCTCAGGTTTCTTCAGGGGCCAGAGACAGATCAAGCGACTGTCCAAAAGATTAGAGACGCAATTAGAGATCAAAGGGAAATAACTGTGCAGTTGATAAACTACACTAAGAGCGGTAGTTGTCTGATAACAAACATTTTCAAACAATCATCTTGAAAGTTTTCAATTCGGGTGATCATCAACTCTCGAAATCATTGCAGGAAAGAAATTCTGGAACTTATTCCACTTGCAACCTATGCGTGATCAGAAGGTAGCAATGAGATATTTGTTATATATCGAGACTCAGATCCTTGGATTGTTGCTCACTACATGACTTTTTTCATCATTAGGGAGAGCTTCAATACTTCATCGGTGTGCAGCTTGATGGAAGTGATCATGTGGAGCCGCTCCAAAATCGTTTGTCAGAGAGAACAGAATTACAGAGTTCTAAATTGGTGTGTGGTTCATCTCCTACTATGCATTTTATAAATTCCATTTCCATCAAAGGAGACTATCACATTGGTTATATGTAATTCAGGTAAAAGCTACAGCAACAAATGTAGATGAAGCTGTCAGAGAACTTCCAGATGCTAATACGGTAAGGTATATTAATTTATGATTACTTAAGTAAGATGTGAAAACATTAATTCAATCGATTGGCAATGTGTTTTAGCGGCCCGAAGACTTGTGGGCTGCACACTCAAAGCCTGTCTATCCTCTGCCTCACAATAAGGAGAGTACGTCCTGGAAAGCCATACAAAAGGCATGCATCAGACCACATTACTTTTTACTTTGTTTCTCAGTCATCCTGTTTTGATTGCGATAGACTCCTTTGTAGATTCAAGCGAGTGGCGAAACAGTGGGACTACATCATTTCAAGCCAATAAAACCGTTGGGCTCTGGTGATACTGGCAGGTACCTGTTTCATTGTGTCTATAACAGTAAACTTGAAGTCAAAACTGTCCTTGAAATCTCCTTTTACTTAGTATATACTTATATTATTTACCTTTGTTTTTTTTATTGGCTACAAAGTGTCCATTTGGTTGAACTGAAAGGCACAGGTGAATTGTATGCCATGAAGGCAATGGAGAAAACAATGATGTTGAATCGTAACAAGGTATATGATGGAGAATGAGTTCCCTTTTCAGAGGGACAGCCATTAATTGAGATTTATATTATATCTCTCATTGACAACGTGCAGCGTTATACAGGCTCACCGAGCATGCATCGAAAGGGAAATCATTTCTCTTCTGGATCATCCTTTCCTTCCCACTCTCTACACTTCCTTTCAGGTATATGTTTTTTCTTTTTTTGTTTGTATCATTTCAGTTATTGTGTATTGCTAAATCGTTTTTTCTTTCCCCCCAGACAGCCACGCATGTTTGTTTGATTACAGACTTCTGCCCCGGTGGAGAGTTGTTTGCTCTGCTTGACAAACAACCCATGAAATTTTTGTCAGAGGAATCAGCAAGGTACCCTATTTTCCTCCAATCCATATGTAACACAAGATCCACTGGTCAGAACTCAGAAGTAATATTAATGTGGTGTGTGTAATAACTAAATAGGGGACACTATGCCCTTACGAGCTATTCTAATCAATCTCTTTGTCATCAGGTTCTATGCAGCAGAGGTCGTTATCGGCTTAGAATATCTTCACTGCTTAGGTAATAAATAGCGGAAGGTTTCCCTGTCTCTGCTAATCTAAAACATTTTTTGTTCATGCATTTAGCGACACGCCTTGAGTAGTGTCTTCCTCCTTCAATCAATGTAGCAGCTTCGTTTAAAATTTGCATATATGTTCCATAAATAGGAATTGTATACCGAGATCTGAAGCCTGAAAATATACTGCTCAAGAAGGATGGACACATTGTATTAGCCGACTTTGATTTATCATTCATGACGTCCTGCACACCACAGGTACGTTTGTTATATAACTCCACTTTTTTTGTTTTTTACTGGTAATATAAAGGAATCTAATAATTAGGAGAATTATGATGTGCAGCTTATTAATCCACCTGCACCTAACAAACGAAGGAAGTCCAAGAGTCAACCACTACCAACATTCGTTGCAGAACCAATTACACAGTCAAACTCGTTCGTAGGGACCGAAGAATACATTGCGCCTGTACGGTGACACACTTAATGTTTCGTGATTTTTATCTCTTGTAAATTTGTAATCCTCACGCCTGGGATTGAATTGGAGAGTAATTTTGCTTCCTCTTCCTCTTCAGTGTGTTTCAGATTTTGGTATTCTAATTATCATTCACCTAATTATTTCAGGAGATAATCACGGGTGCTGGTCATACGAGTGCTATTGATTGGTGGGCGCTGGGTATAATTTGCCACCATCTTACCTAATATAACTTACGTCACAGCCCCATTTTGTATCTAATATGCTGATCTCTTATATGTATGTTTGCTTTAGGTATCTTGTTGTATGAAATGCTTTATGGCCGCACACCTTTCAGGGGTAAGAATAGGCAGAAGACATTTGCCAACATCTTGCACAAAGATCTCACCTTCCCCAGCAGTATTCCTGTGAGCTATCTATCTGGTAACAACCTGTGTTTCTCTCAAAGCAAAAAAAATACTAATTTTAACCGTGTATTTGTGCAGGTAAGTCTTGTATGTAGACAGTTGATCAACATGTTGCTAAATAGAGATCCGAGTTGCCGGTTAGGATCCAAAGGTGGAGCAAATGAGATAAAACAGCATGCCTTCTTCCGCGGGATCAATTGGCCTCTCATACGTTGCATGGTAGGACTAACTAATATAGCTTTTATATCTATCATCTTGTGTCACACATTTGTGTTTGTTGGCTAATATATTAGGAGTGATTGCAGAGCCCTCCACCATTGGATGCACCGTTGCGTATAATAGAGAAAGATCCGAATGCCAAAGATATAAAGTGGGAAGATGATGGAGTGCTTGTGAATTCTATGGACATTGACATTGATCTCTTCTAAACCCTCCCTACTCTTCCCTTCTTCTTCTGCTTTTGAGTCTCATTTTAATGCAAAACTCTCTTCTTCTCAATAAAGCAAAGGTGTTGTTTGTACTGTAGTTGCTTACATATATAATACATCAGACATAAAACAGCTCTTTCTTGTTATTAAAGGCACCGCACAATTTTCCTTCTCTTCTAAATCCCGAAATCAACCATAAACATACAAACTTTTGATGACCATGTTAATATTGTTAAGTGTTATTGGCCCATTACGAGGCCCAATAACTGGCCCATCAGCTGTTGGGCGAAATGTCTTTGAGAAGTCCAACCACCTGCTGCATCGTGGGTCGCTTCCACGGCAGATCGGCGGTGCACAAGTACCCTATCTTCACCGCCTCCGCAATCTGCTCCACCGGAGCTGTCTCTCGAATCTTCGGATCGATGGCTTCTGATCCTTGTCCCTGCCTCACCAAACTTCTCACCCAATTCACCAAGTCCCCTTCCGGCTTCTTCCCGCTCACGAGCTCAAGCAGAACAACTCCGAAGCTGTACACATCGGATTCTACCGTCGGAGAGCCTTGTTCCTCCAGCTCAGGCGGTGAGTAGCCGTCTAAAACTACGGGAAATCCCTCGTCCAAGAGTTTCACTAAACCAAATTCTGCTAATTGCGGTTCCTGGCTGGAGTCTAAGCAGATTGTTGTAGCCTTCACTTCCCCGTGGACCACCGGAGGAATGCATCCATGATGGAGGAAAGCCAACGCCCTCGCCGTCCCTAGAGCTATCTTATGCCGGAATCTCCACGATGCAGAATCGACTGTGGTATAGAGTAAAGTTTGCAAATTGACATTGTCTAGGTGCTCGTAAATCGCGATTCTTTGCTCTGCGGTTATGCAGTATCCAGAGAGCGGGACGAGATTTGGGTGGTTGATCCGGGCGAGGCGTTCAAACACAAGCAAGGCTTCGTGATTGGTCAATGTGGTTCCACTTGGGACAACTTTTAGAGCTGCTCTGAATCCATCAGGTAAGACTGCTTCGTAAGTAGGACCAGACTTGCTTTCCCACAACAATGCGCCTCTGTCGAAGTTGAAAGTCGCAGCCTTTAGGTCTGCAAACGTCAGCTTCATCAACGGCTTGTCGATCATTACGACTGAGACATCGGTTGATTCATTTTGGTCTGACAAGTTGGGTTCTGTGGCTTGCTTTGCTGCCCATGTTCTGGATTTTCTTCTACCTCTCAAGGCCACAAGTATGAGCAACAGCGCAACAAGTAAGAAGGCCATGGAGATTGCTAACGCCAAACCAATCTTGAGCCCTGTCTTCTTCTTGTTGATTTTCTTTCCCTTTTGAACAATTGGCTTTGCAGCAAAGGGGCAGTTGTTCGTGGAGCCAATGAGGGATGTCTGGATCATTCTTTGAGAGAAGTTGGGGTTGCAAAAGGTTAGATTGTTGAAGGAGAAGTTAAACCTCTGCATCATGGGGAGTTTCTCAAGAACCGGCCTTGGAATGTCTCCCTCTAGCTTATTCAGCGAGAGATCAAGTATTTCAATGTTCTTGAGGCTCAACATAGGCACATGGCCAGTGAGATTATTGGAGGAGAGATCTATAACCTTGAGATGACTTAGCCGCGAGATTTCACCTGGAATGATACCTGCTATATTGGTCCTGGATAGATTCAGATAATATAGAGCTGAAAGCTTTGAGATATTTGGGAATTCTTGTGTCCTGAATCGATTGCACGCGAGGTTAAGGTGTCTCAGCTTCGGAGATGAACTCAAGCCATTGAGTATATGGCCGAAAAAACGGTTATTGGACAAGTCAAGATGAACCAGACTAGACGAGTTGTGTTTGACGCCGTCTATTAACTGCAAGATATGCCCACCAAATCGGTTTTCACTGAGATCAACTGTTTCCAAGTTTTCATGCAAGTCTCCTATCAATGAACCCTGAAACAGATTCCGTGAAAGGTTCAAGCTTTTCAGTTTTGGGAAGGCCGAACCAAAACCAACAGGCAGTGACCCGGTGAGCTGGTTCGATGAGAGGTCGATGGAGACTAGAGAACGGCAATTGAGAAGTCCTGGAGGGACGACAAACTGAAAACCATTGTTGTCAAGCTTGAGAGTTGTTAGATTGACAAGGGAGCTTATAGCGGCAGGGATTTCTCCGGAGAAGCTGTTGAAAGAAAGATCAAGGGTCTCAAGCGTCATGAAATTGCCGATGTTGCTGGGAAGAGGCGCAGAAATCCGGTTGGAGGAGAGATTGAGACTCTTGAGGGAGCCCAGACTCCACAAATCCGAGGGCAGAGACGTAATCTTGTTGCCACTAAGATCCAAAGATCGGAGCATTCTCAATTTCCCGATGGTGTTGTCAGGGATGGGACCGGACAGTTCTGACCAAGAAGCTGAGAAGCGGAGCACGTACTCTCTTCTTGAGTTACAGACCACTCCTGGCCATGAACATAAAGAAGAAGAAGATAATGTGTGAGCTTGGGAAGAATTGGGTAGTCCCATTGCTGTGAAGAAGTTGGAGAGATAAGAGGCGTCTGTGTTGGGATCTTGGCTGGTCAGATGCTTGACGAAGAGGGAGAGGAATATGAGAGTTCCCCATAGAGGCAAGCCCATATTTTGGAATCTGGACTTGGAGAAAGGTCGGTGGAGGAGCTCAGAAAGAAGACAGACTGTGTGAAAAGAAGAAAAGACATAATGGAATCACGGGGTAGAGATGTGATAGTTTGGAATCCATTGAGATCCCTTTCACGTGCACGGCTTCAAAATCAGAGGTTAATCAGAAGACATGATTCAGAAGAAGTAGAAGAAGGATAAGGGGTTGAAAAGTTGGGGAGTTCAGAGTGAGTTTGGCTGTATCATATGCTTGGAGGAAGTGGAAGAGAATAGTGAGTCGTTGAAAGTCAAAAAAGAGGAGGAGATTTTATAATTAGGTAAAGTTTTTCGCTAGTGACTAATATGAAAATGGGATCTGTCTCAGACTTTTGTAAATTTCAAATCCCAAAGTGTCAATGGATTTGGTTGAGTGGGAGTGGGTGGCTGTGGTTTCTCACTTCTGCAGGATTTGGGTTATAGTGTGAAAAAAAAAAAAAAACTTTTTATGGGTTTCACACTTTCTTTACTCCGTCACGCCTTGGAAAATAGGAATCTCATCTGATTGGCCCCTTAACTGACGCCTAAATGTGCGCGAAATAAGAGAAAAACAGGATCTCCATTAAAGTAGTTAAACTAACAAGATGAGAGTTCATCATCTTTCTGGATAAAAATAGCCACTCACTATTTTAAGGAAAGTTATGCTTAAAACGGAGCTCCACTAGTTCAGAGCCGTCATGTTACTTAGGAATTTAGGATTAAAAGTCTTAAACTTAATAAATCGACAACACCATTAAGAGAAGTTGAAGGAAGAAACAGTGAAAGAACTATACAACCTGAAGAAAACAGAGCAGTACTCCTCTTTTGCATTTATTGGGCTTCACTCACGGGCCTCTATAAAAAAGCCTATTAAGAGGAAAATGGCGCGAGAGATATATGCCGGTTTGTCCGTAGATGAGGATACACGTGTCAGGTCGGGTGAAGAGATGGCGGCTGATCATGGGATCCACGTCATAAAACTCCACCAGCTGACCTTTTCCTCTTCCAAGATACCATTTTGACATTAACATCATCTTTAACAGATCAGAATAAACAAACAAAACAAAACAAAAATTACGACGGAAACACAAGGTTGTGCGAGCAAAAAGGGTTTAGGATTTTGAAAAGATGGCCTTGTTTCGCAAATTGTTCTATCGCAAACCTCCAGATGGTTTGCTCGAGATATCCGACAGAGTTTTCGGTTTGTTTCTCCTAATTCTCTGCTTCATTGTCTATTTTGCATTGTTGATTCTACTTCCCGGTCTTCTCAATTGAGTGTCTGAAAGGTTGGGGCTTGCTACATTCATTGCTTTTGGCGCATCTCTTGATTGTTGCGCTACTTTCTGTGAAATTAGGGGGTTTCATCGTTGATCTGTGTCCAATATCTCTCCCTCATTCTGCGATTTGTCTGAGAAATTTGATAGCTTTAGTGGGAGTCTATACCTGTTTGCGTCTGTGCTAAAGCCAAGAAATGCTGGGTGTTTAAAATATGATTTTTCATTTTATCATGATTGGTAAAATGACATTGAACTCAAGACAACGGTGCTTCGTGTGTTTGCAGTGTTTGATTGCTGCTTCTCTACCGATTCTTGGGAAGAAGAAAAATACAAAGTTTATATGGCGGGGGTTGTCAGTCAACTACAAGAACACTTCCCGGATGCATCCTCTCTTGTGTTTAATTTCCGTGAAGTGGGTGCTCGGAGTGTGATGGCTGATGTCTTGTCAGAACATGGCTTGACCATAATGGATTACCCTCGCCACTACGAAGGCTGCTCATTGTTGCCTGTCGAAGTGATGCACCATTTTCTCCGGTCCAGTGAAAGCTGGCTCTCACTCGGCCCAAATAACTTGTTGCTAATGCATTGTGAACGTGGGGCTTGGCCAGTTTTAGCATTCATGCTAGCTGCCCTCCTTATTTACCGGAAGCAGTACAGTGGTGAGTACAAGACCTTGGACATGATCTACAAGCAGGCTCCTCGTGAGCTTCTGCATTTGTTCTCACCGTTAAACCCAATTCCTTCTCAGCTACGCTATCTACAGTACGTGTCGAGAAGGAATTTGGTCTCTGAATGGCCTCCATTGGATAGGGCTCTCACCATGGATTGTGTTATTTTGAGATTTGTTCCTGACGTTAGTGGACAAGGAGGTTGTCGCCCAATCTTCCGAGTATATGGTCAAGATCCGTTTTTTGTAGATGATAAAAAGCCTAAGCTTTTGTACTCTACTCCCAAGAAAGGGAAACACCTGAGGATCTACAAGCAGGTACTTTTCATAGCAGATTCATAGCGTCCTTCATAATTGATGACCTCTGCCTAAGCCTGTGCTATATAAATTCACATTATATCTTCACTTTAAAGGTCTTAGCAAAAGAGAGATAATTTTTCTTTCTGATTGACCTTCCGTTTCAATTTGTTCTTGTGCTTTATAGCTTTCTTTGTCCTTGTTTGCAAAATGATTCAATGGCTGTTCCCTGCTTGTTTTCTTGACGCTTGTGTTTTGCAGGCAGAATGTGAGCTAGTCAAGATTGACATCAATTGTCATGTGCAAGGTGATATCGTGATTGAGTGCCTTAGTTTAAACGATGACATGGAAAGAGAGGTCATGATGTTTCGAGTGGTTTTCAACACGGCCTTTATTAGATCAAACATTTTGATGCTTAACCGTGATGAAGTTGACACATTATGGCATATAAAAGAACAGTTCCCAAAGGGGTTCAGAGTTGAGGTATATACTCATGTGGCTTATATTCTCTTTACATGGTATATGGTTACTTCTTTGTAAATTAGTACTCACAAAGAGTACTTTCTGTGTGAAGCTTCTCTTCTCGGATATGGATTCTGCCTCTTCTGTTGACTTGATGGACTTTTCGTGTTTGGAGGCGAAAGATGGTCTTCCAATAGAAGTTTTTTCCAAAGTTCATGAGTTCTTCAATCAAGTTGACTGGGTGGATCAGACAGATGCCACACGCAATATGCTTCAGCATTTAGCTATTGCGAATGCAGTCCAAGAAAGACCAGATGGGAATTCAAGTCCAAAACTACAAAACTTAAGCCCCAAAAGTATCAATGATATAATGAAACAGGCAGCAATTGAAAATAGTGGAAAGTTCAAATTGTCTTCAATGTCCGAGGTTCAAACGGTCGACCCACCAGAAAAGGGACCTACCGATTCAGTGAAGAAGCTTATAGCAGAAGATATATATTCTGTCCTTCAGATAAGTAGCCAGGCAGATACCACCAGCCAGGATGCAACAGATAGTTCACGTCAAGAGTCCCCTTCTCTCAAGCTTGTGCATCATTCGGCAACAGTTAAACCTTTTGTGGACGGTTCTGGCACTTCTGAAAATGCTGAGGAGATCATTCTGAAGAGTCCTCCTTCAGCAAACGATGGGAAAGCGGTCTCGTTTTCGCCATCCACACCGTCACCACCACATCCTGCAAGAACGTCATTGGCTCCAAAAGGAGCACCTCCGCCACCTCCTCCACCTCCAACTGTTGCTTCTCAACCTTCAGAGCAATTGCAGCATTCTGTTGTCCAACCGGTAGAGAGACTTTCACAGGGAAATGCCTGGGTGTCATTAGCTGGCTCTACATTTCATCGAACACCTTCAAATGAAAAAGTTCCCATGGCACCGCCTCCAACATCTCCTCTGCTTCCTCCTGCATCCCATGTTTCTCCTCAGGAGTCTTCTAAAACAAAAAATCCGTCGTCACTTCGGCCATCTCCTGCATTAGTAGCTACTCCTGCCAAACCATCCCAAACTGAGACATTAGGTTCTTTTTGTCCTCCTTCACCTCCAATAAGAGCTCCCAATGATGTGGTTTCACCTCCTCCTCGACCACCTCTTCCTCCCCCTCCTCCTCCTCCTCCAATGCAGCATTCAAACCAGAACACAGTCGCTAGAGTTACCCCTCCTATACCTCCACCGCTTCCTACCTCTTCTGCCTCTCCTCCCCCAGCTCCTCCAACACCTCCACCGCTTCATACCTCTTCTGCCTCTCCTCCTCCAGCTCCTCCAACACCTCCACGGCTTCCTACATCTTCTGCCTCTCCGGCCCCTCCAACCGCACCACCTCCACCACCATTAGGTCAGATGAAGGCACCGTCAGCACCACCTCCCCCACCTTTAGGTCAGATGAAGTCACCATCAGCACCACCTCCTCCTCCTCCAAAGTTAGGAACCAATTCATCCCCATCTTCTGGTACTAGTGTGCCTCCAACACCTGCTTTACCAACTGGATCTCTTTCATCAGGAAAAGGGAGAATGTTACGTGTAAATTTAAAGAATAATCAAACCAAAAAGTTGAAGCCATACTACTGGTTGAAACTTACAAGAGCTGTTAATGGGAGCTTGTGGGCTGAAACACAAATGTCGAGTGAAGCATCTAAGTACGCATTGTTCATCTTGTCGTCAGTTATTTCTCTGATACCTCCGGTTCTTGTATAATTTCTAAGCCAGTAACTCTTTACCTGTTTGTTTAGGGCTCCTGAGATTGACATGACAGAGCTTGAAAGTCTTTTCTCCGCATCTACTCCAGAGCAAGCAGGGAAGTCGAGACTAAATAGCTCTCGTGGACCTAAACCCGAGAAAGTCCAACTGGTAAATTATGTGTTTAAGAGTTAATCGTATGTCATAGTGTCCTTGTTTGTGTCGATTCTGTTATGTTTTCCCATGAAATGATTGTTATTTTGATAGTTGAACATACTGAATATAATGAGAAACTTCAACTTGCAGATTGAACACAGGCGAGCATATAATTGTGAAATTATGCTTTCAAAAGTGAAAGTACCTTTGCAGGATTTGATGGTAATATTAAGCTCTACAGGTTTAGGATGTGTTGTAATGATAGCATTTAAAATCTGTAAAATGTCAGTGACAATTAAAAGCTACATTGTCTCAAAATATTGGCAGTACTCAGTGCTTAACCTGGAGGAATCGGCTCTTGATGCTGATCAGGTTGAGAACTTAATTAAGTTTTGTCCAACAAGAGAAGAAATGGAATTACTAAAGGTATAAGAAGTATACTCCCTAATGTTCTGCTGCTTTAATTCCCAAAACCAGAACTCCCTAGAATAAATAAGGGTGTTCTGCTTTCCACCTTTTGCATGCTCCTTTAATTTATCTTCATTTTATGCCTGGTTTGCAGGGTTACAATGGTGACAAGGATAAGCTAGGAAAATGCGAACTGGTACTTAACTTGGAATACTTTTTGGTTTTATTGGAGTAGCCATACACTAATTATGATTCCTGAAATTGTTTGAACAGTTCTTCTTAGAGATGATGAAAGTCCCACGAGTAGAAACAAAGCTCAGAGTATTCTCATTCAAAATTCAGTTTCGATCTCAGGTCTGAAAACTGATACCCTGTTAATTACGATTACGTGGAGCTTTATTTTGGTACTTAAGGTCACTGTTGACCACTTTTTTAGATTTCTGAACTCAGGAATAGTCTAGGTGTTGTCAACTCCGCGGCAGAACAAGTAAGTCATATTCAACTGGGTCGTCTAGGTTACCTCCCAACATGATTAAAACATACCTCACCAATGCTCTTTTGTTCATCTTTTCATCAGATAAAGAATTCTGAAAAATTCAAAAGAACAATGCAGACAATTTTGTCCCTTGGGAACGCCCTAAACCAGGGGACGGCTAGGGGTGAGTTTGAAAATGGAACGTATGAACTCTGGATGTTTTTCTTTTATCCTGCTCTCAAAGTAGTTTCTCTTTAGGTGCTGCGGTTGGGTTTAAATTGGACAGTCTGCCAAAACTCAGTGAAACACGGGCGCGTAATAACCGTACGACTCTGATGCATTATCTATGCAAGGTAAGCTATCATAGTCTGCGATTCTGTAGCTTTATGGATGTACTAGATCGAAATAGAGAGAGATATAGTCTGATGAATTCTCTGCAGATTCTTGCTGAGAAAATGCCAGAAGTTATAGATTTCACAAAAGATTTATCCTCACTGGAGTCTGCAACAAAGGTATCTAGCTTTCATTTCATTTGCAATTTCTGTGTAGATCGATAAAAAAGCTTGAAAAAGTGTTGATTTTCTAAACTTTGATACAGATTCAACTCAAGTTTTTGGCTGAGGAGATGCAAGCTATAAACAAGGGACTGGAGAAAGTCGTACAAGAACTCTCCTTGTCTGAAAATGATGGCCCAATCTCACATAACTTTAATAAGGTATATCTGTCATCCATCACTAAATGCCTCTTCAAGGCTTTCTCAAACCAAAAAAAAAAAATATATATATATATATATATACGGAAATAAATCTACATAAGAAACGGAGACTGTTTACTGGGAGAATAATCAAGTCCCTCAAGAAAGGAAAGCAGGAAAACGAGTATAGATAGTATGGGCTGTGATTCCAGAATTATGTGGCTAGTGAATTGTGAATGTGCTCTGTAACAACTTTCAGGGCAGCTAGATAGGTACTAACTAGCGAACCAGGCAACACATGTGTGGGCAATGTGGCTGCATGGAAAGTTAGGAAGACAATAACTGACTAAGCTCGTTCTCGTTCTTGTTTGATCATATCTATTGAGTTCTTTTTATTTTTCTCAGATATTGAAGGAGTTCCTTCATTATGCGGAAGCAGAAGTAAGGTCCTTGGCTTCAATCTATTCGGGAGTGGTATGTCTCTAAACAAATCCAATGTGCAATAGATAAGTTACATGCTCCTGATCTATTGTTGGTTGAAAGATGGTCAGAATAAATCAAGTTTATGAATTGCAGGGAAGAAATGTGGATGGCTTAATTCTCTACTTTGGTGAAGACCCTGCTAAGTGCCCTTTTGAACAAGGTATGCATACCCTATATATGTAGTCTTTATGTGAAACAGGGTGCTACCAAGTTGATTGAATCTATCTAGTGGTTTGTAAATTGCAGTGGTGTCGACTCTTCTAAACTTTGTAAGGTTGTTCAATCGAGCGCATGAAGAAAACGGAAAACAACTCGAGGCAGAAGCTAAGAAGAGTGCTGAAAAGGAGAAATCAAAAACAGGTGGATTAGATAAAGAAAGCAGAAAGACCTTGGAAGAAGAAATAAAGGAGGAGAAAACAAAAACAAGTGGATTAGATAAAGAAAGCAGAAAGACATTGGAGGAAGAAATAAAGAAGGAGAAAACAAAAACAAGTGGTTTAGATAAAGAAACGAGGGAGCCACAGAAGGAAGGAGGCGCCGCTTGAAAAACAGATTGTTTCCATTCGTTTTGAGATGGCACGGAAGGAAACGGCTCAGGACTGGACTGAACCGGAACGGTGAAGGCGTGAGACTGCTAAAAACGGGCTTTTAGATTATAAGATGCTTAGAGACCACGCTATTTTTACCTTCTTATAACTTGTCACCTAACGGAAATATTAACGTGTAAAATAGTTATAAGTGTAAAAAATATTGTAACTAGAAAGCAATAAACAAAATACATCATACATGTTGGTCACAGACTCACAGTAGAAGATGGAAAGGAAGGGGAAGAACAGAGTTAATAACTGATTGGTACAATAATAGTAACTAGTAAGTAATAGAAAGAGGCATTCTTTTCTTGGTGAACTAGACCAGTGCAGGATAAATGTCCAGTTCCTTGTTCTTTCCACTTTGTAGCGTTATGCGTTTTATTTTTGTTCATCAGTGAACTGCTCAGGCTCAGGGTGTGTATCTAATTCTAAGAAGACAAAATAGAATAGCAAAACAAAAGTCATGGGAACGACGACGTTTAGAGGTTATAACAAAAACGCAATTCTGGTTTGTTATTCTTCTCCAATGGCGTCCTCTTCTCTTGTTCATCTCCAATGGATGCTAATTTGATTACCATTCTCGCGCATTGACAGGCCAACAAGTGCATCAATCTTTGAAGCTCTACTATTGATGTAGTCTTAAAGGCAAGTCAATGTGCAGAAAGGATTTAAAAGAAGGAAACAAATCCTGTAAATATCTAGCATGTAGTAGTACTTCTTGAAGATTTTAACAAGAACCTGAGATTTAGAAACATTAATTCGCCAGTTCAGAGAACACCTGTCATGTCAGGTACAGAGATGACAGCTGATGGTGGTGAGATTCACGTCATTAAACGCGCCAGTTGACCTTTTCGATTCTGAACGCGAGCAAAAAGGGTTTAGGATTTTTGAAAAGATGGCCTTGTTTCGCAAATTGTTCTACCGCAAACCTCCAGATGGTTTGCTCGAGATATCCGACAGAGTTTTCGGTCTGTTTCTCCCAATTCTCTGCTTCATTTGTCTATCTTGCCTTGTTGACTCTACTTCCCAGTCTTGTGAATCAATTTTTTTTCTGATAAAGATCCGGACTTTGCACTGCTTTGTGTTAAATTATGGCCCTTTTTTTATTTTACGGTCTCGCATTCTGCGATGTTTCTGAGAAATTTGATAACTTTAGTCGGATCGTACTATTGCTTGCGTCCTTTGCTTAAAATAGGATTCTGAAGACATAAGTTCTCTGTGCGTTTGCAGTGTTTGACTGCTGCTTATCCACTGATTGTTTGGAAGAAGAAAACTACAAAGTCTATGTAGCTGGGGTGGTCAATCAACTACAAGAACACTTCCCGGACGCATCCTCTCTTGTGTTTAATTTCCGTGAAGTGGGTGCTCGGAGTGTGATGGCTGATGTCTTGTCAGAACATGGTTTGACCATAATGGATTATCCTCGCCACTACGAAGGCTGCTCATTGTTGCCTGTGAAAGTGATGCACCATTTTCTCCGGTCCAGTGAAATCTGGCTCTCACTTGGCCCAAATAACTTGTTGCTAATGCATTGTGAACGCGGGGCTTGGCCTGTTTTAGCTTTCACGCTAGCTGCTCTTCTTATTTACCGGAAGCAGTACAGTGGTGAGTACAAGACCTTGGACATGATCTACAAGCGTGCTCCTCGTGAGCTTCTGCATTTGTTCTCACCGTTGAACCCAATTCCTTCTCAGCTACGTTATCTGCAGTACTTGTCGAGAAGGAATTTGGTCTCCGAATGGCCTCCACTGGATGTGGCTCTCACCATGGATTGTGTTATTTTGAATTTTATTGCTGATGTTAGTGGACAAGGAGCCTGTCGTCCAATCTTCCGAGTATATGGTCAGGATCCGAGTTTTGTGGATGATAAAAGGTCCAAGCTTTTATTCTCTACTCTCAAGAAAGGAAATCACCCGTGGATCTACAAGCAGGTATTTTTCACGGCAAAGTCATATTTTCCTTAATAATTCATGACCTCTGACTTAGCCTATGCTATATAGTTCACGTTGCATCTTCATCTTAAGGTCTTATCAAAAAAGAGATAATTGTGATCACTCTGTTGCTGTTTGTTCCTTTGCTTTTTCGCTTACTTTGTCCTTGTTTGCAAAATGATTCAATAGCTGTTCTCTGTTTGTTTTCTTGACCCTTGTGTTTTGCAGGCAGAATGTGAACTAGTCAAAATTGACATCAATTGTCATGTGCAAGGTGATATCGTGATTGAGTGCCTTACTTTAAACGATGACATGGAAAGAGAGGCGATGCTGTTTCGAGTGGCTTTCAACACAGCTTTTATTAGATCAAACATTTTGATGCTTAACCGTGACGAGGTTGACACATTATGGCATTTAAAAGAACAATTCCCGAAGGAGTTCAGAGTTGAGGTATATACTCATGTGGCTCATATTCTCTTTACATGGTATATGGTTACTCCTTTGTGAATTAGTACTCACAAAGAGTACTTTCTTTGTGAAGCTTCTCTTCTCGGATATGGAGGCTGCCTCGTCTGTTGACTTGATGGATTTTTCGGGCTTGGAGGAGAAAGATGGTCTTCCAATAGATGTTTCTTCCAAAGTTCATGAGTTCTTCAATCAAGTTGACTCTGTTGATCAGAATCTAGCCATCGCTAACGCTGTCCAGGGAAAACCAGATGGGAATTCAAGCCCAAGACTACAAGGGTTAAGCCCCAAAAGTATCAATGATATAATGAAACATGCAGCAATTGAAAGTAGTGTACAGTTCAAATTGTCTGAGGTTGACACGGTCGACCCACCAGAAAAGGGACCTACCGATTCAGTGAAGAAGCTTATAGTAGAAGATATTCATTCTGTCCTTCAGATAAGTAGCCAGGAAAACCCCACCAGCCAGGATGCAACAAATTGTTCACGTCAAGGGTCCCCTTCTCTCAAGCTTGTGCATCATTCGGCAACAGTTAAACTTTTTGTGGACGATTCTGACTTTTCTGAAAATGCTGAGGAGAATATTCTAAAGAGTCCTCCTCCAGAAAACCATGGGAACGTGGTCTCGTTTTCTCCATACACACCGTCACCTTCAAGTCCGTCATTAGCCCCAACAGAAGCACCTCTGCCTCCTCTTCCACTTCCTACTGTTGCTCCTCCAACACCAGTTAAAACTTCACCTCCACGGCTTGTTATCTCCTCTGCCTCTCCTCCCACTCCAACCAGACCACCTCCACCACCATTAGGCAAGCCTAGGGCCCCGTCAGGACCACCACATTCTCGCCATATTGTCCCTCCCAGACCTGTGCTACCAACCATAAAGTTGAAGCCATACTACTGGTTGAAACTGACAAGAGCTGTCACTGGGAGCATATGGGCTGAGACACAAATGTCTGGTGGAGCTTCTAAGTACGCATTTTTTCCTCCTGTTATCACTTATTTCTCTGTTGTCTCCAGTTTATTGTATGATTTATATATGTTGGTTTAGGGCTGCTGAGATTGACAGGAAACAGCTTGAAATATGTTTCCCCGCAGCTGCTCCAGTGCAGCGTGCAAAACCACCTAAACTTGAGAAAGTCCGACTGGTAAAATATGCTTGACCCGATTTATTTTCCCATAAAATGATTGCTTTCTCTATGGTTGAGCTTATCAAATATTTTGGGAAACTCTATCTTGCAGATAGAAAGCAAGCGAGCATACAATTGTGAGATCATGCTTTCAAATGTGAAAGTTCCTTTGCAGGATTTGATGGTAATATAGGTTTGGGATTTACTGTAATCATAGCAGTTTAATCTGGTTAAATGTCCATGTGTCGCTCTTGTACATGATAATTCAAAGCTAATCGTCTCTCAAAATGTTGGCAGTACTCAGTGCTTAACCTTGAGGAATCGGCTCTTGATGCTGATAAGGTTGAGAACCTAATTAAGTTTTGCCCAACAACAGAAGAAATAGAAAAACTAACGGTATATGAAGTGCTTTGATTTCCAGAGCCAGAAGTTCTGTGATCCATCTTTTGTATGTTTATCTTACTTCATTTTATCCTTGGTTTACGCAGGGTTACAATGGTGACAAGGACATGCTTGGAAAATGCGAACTGGTATAAAACCTGGACATACTTTTAATTTCATTGGAGTAGCCATTAGAACGTAACACCGAGTATGCATCTTGAATTGTTTGAACAGTTCTTCTTAGAGATGATGAAAGTCCCACGAGTAGAAAAAAAGCTCAGAGTACTCTCATTCAAAATTCAGTTTTGTTCTCAGGTCTGAAAAACCGATACCCTGTTGCTTTTGAGTGGTACTTTGATTTTGGTACTTATGTTTACTTTGAACCACTTTTTAAGATTTCTGAACTCAGGAATAGTCTAAGTGTTGTGAACTCCGCAGCAGAACAGGTAAGTCAGATTCAACTAGGTCGTTTAGGTGACTTCTCAACATGATTAAAACATAACTCACCAATGCTTTTTGTTTGTTCCTCTTTTCATCAGATAAAGAGTTCTGAAAAATTCAAAAGAATAATGCAGACAATTTTGGCCCTTGGGAACGCCCTAAACCAGGGGACGAGTAGGGGTGAGTTTCGAAATGGAACGTATTAACTCTGGAATTTTTTTTTCTTTTTATCCTGCTTTCAAAGTAGTTTTTGTCTAGGTAATGCGGTTGGGTTTAAATTGGACAGTCTGCCAAAACTCAGTGAAACAAGGGCGACTAATTACCGTAGGAATCTGATGCATTACCTATGCTGGGTAAGCTATTTTAGGTCGCCCTTCTGTTGCTTTGTGGATTTACTAGATGGAGAGAAAGATACAGTCTGGTGGATTCTCTGCAGATTCTTAGTGAGAAAATTCCAGAAGTTTTAGATTTCCCAAAAGATCTATCCTCACTGGAGCCTGCGACAAAGGTACTTAGCTTTCACATTTCATGTGCATTTTTTGCGGAGATGGATAAGAAAACTTGAAAAGGTGTTAATTTCAAGAACTTTGATACAGATTCAACTCAAGTTTTTGGCTGATGAGATGCAAGCTCTAAACAAGGGACTGGAGAATGTCGAAGAAGAACTCTCCTCGTCCAAAAAAGATGGCCCAATCTCAGACAACTTTAACAAGGTAGCTCTCTCATTGATTACTAGTTGCCTCTTCAAGGCTTTCTCAAAAATATGCTCAGAAATATATCTACATAAGAAAGACAGACCTTTTACTGGGAGAACAATCAAGTCTCATAAGAAAGAAAAGCAGGCCATCAAGTGTAGACACTACAAAGTGTTATGATCTCGGAATTATGTGGCTAGTGAATTTTGAGTGTTCTATTCTGTGTAACAAGGCAGCTAGATGGGTACTAACTAACAAATTAACCAGAAAACATATGTGTTGTCAATGCAGGGAGTTGATAATCGATCCATTTCTTTCTTGTTTGATCATATATGTCAAGGTTTTTGGTTTTAATTTTCTCAGATATTGAAGGAGTTTCTTCATTATGCGGAAGGAGAAGTAAGGTCCTTGGCTTCACTCTATTCCGGAGTGGTATGTCCCCAAAAATGTGCGGTAGATATATTACCTGTTCCTGCTTTATCGTTGAGCTTCGTCAGAATAAATAAATTATATATTGCAGGTCAGAAACCTGGATGGCTTAATTCTTTACTTTGGTGAAGACCCTGCTAAGTACCCTTTTGAACAAGGTATGCATACCCTATACATGTAGTCATTATGTGAATCAGGGTGTTACCAAGTTGATTGAATCTAGCTAGTGGTTTGTAAATTGCAGTGGTGTCGACTCTTCTAAACTTTGTAAGGTTGTTCAATCGAGCGCATGAAGAAACCGTAAAATACCTTGAGGCAGAAGCTAAGAAGAGTGCTGAAACAGAGAAATAAAAAACAGGACCGGGTTAGATAAGGAAACTCTTGTAGGAAGAAGTTGAGAACAAAAGGAAAAAGGGTTGGATTGGATAAAGAAACGAAGGAGCCATTGCTGGAAAACTGGCTTAGAGCCTTAGCCCATTGGATTTCAAGACAACAGGAGAATGTTGGATAGATGCTTAGAGACAGCAATATTTTATCTTCTCTAAACTTGTAAAATAGCGAAGGTGGAAAAAACAAAAATCTATTGTAACTAAAAAGCAATAAACATAAATACATGATTAAATACATAAATTAATAAACAAAAATCTATTGGTCATAAGTGTGTTCTCGGAGTTGGCTGCAATGAGTGTGTTCTCACTTCTCATTCTCTCTTCTTAACTTCTTTTAAACCGCCTTAAAAAAACGTCCAAAAAAAAACCGCCTTAAAAACGAATCCTTATTTTTTTTTTTTTTTTTGTATTTAATTACGGGCCCACAACAGTGCACAAAGAAGTCTTTCAAAATTCTCCAATCTCACAAAAAAAACCTCAGATCTCTCAGATCTCTCTTCCATGGATCCCGCTTCTTCCAGAAATCAGCGCAATCGAATCGTCTCTTCTGGTACACTCTTCCCTCCTCATTTCCTTTCTCTTTCGTATTTCGAATGAACAAAAGCCCCAATTCGACTCAAACCCTAGACCATTATAAAGCCGTTAATCGCTCCAATGTTCGTTTCCTCCCTCTCTGATTCTACTGCTGACGAGATATGTTGACTTCGCGCAGGGGAAAGGCCAGTCATGGCGGATAATGGCGTCGATCAGGTAATCATTCCTCTATGTTCCCTTCTATTTTGATTTCTCTCTGTAAGCAAATCTCACCCCAGGTTTAAAATGCGTCGTTTCCTTTCCACCAGCAGATTTCTCCCGGAGATGAAAGGATTGTTTCTTCTTCCGTTGGTCCTTCTCCTGATCTCTCCTCATATTACAACGTCTTTCAACCCCCTACAAATCTCTATCCTTACGATTGGGATCCTGGTAATTATGTTTTCTTCTCTCTTCGTAATAACCCCTTTTTGGTAACAACAACAACAAACGACTACGACTGTGAGTGCTCATTTGCGTTATTGCTTTCTAGGTTATGCACAAAGCATCAATAGTTGGGATGGATACCCACAATATTCTACTACCCATGAAGGCCTGCATGTGCCACAGGTTAGGATGACTTGCCCATTTTATGTTCTATTTTGCTCTTGATACATAATCACCTTCTTTTTTATGTTTGCACTCAGGTTGTCTACAATGACAATTCATCTTTTATGTACCAGCCTGGTTTCACCTTCAACCATTACCCATCTCTAATGTTGGATGGCCAAATTCCAATCTCCCCAGCTTATTTCCCACATTTTGGTGCACCTTCATCTATGCATTTTAATCAGTCAGAAATTGGTGGTGATAACTCCCGGTTTGACCCAACAACTGGTTATATGGTTCCATTTGGGGGATATGGTGGAGGCAATTTATCTGGGAATCAAGGGGCCAACTCTTTAACATCCTCTATACCTTATCCTCAAACGATGGGTATACTTGGCCCATACGACCATAATGCTTCACAGGTTTAAACTCTTTCTATCTGCCTCTCTTGTTTAACGTGTTTTGGCTGATGTACAAATCCTTTATTTGGGTTGATTTGGTAAACTGCATAAAAGTGCCACTGATTTTTAGTATCACTACGTGAGTTCATCTCTTTAGCCTTTCCCTGAATTGATTCTGAAGTCATACAGATACACAATCTAGAATAGCCATGAAATTTTGTCATTTTTAATTCAATGATCATTTTTTTGTTTTGGCGTTCAGTCGTTAGCTTTTTTCTTCCATGTAAATGTTTTAGAGAATGATGGCGTCTTTGGCATACTCTTTACATTCAAATTAGTTCACAGTTTTATGGGCTGCTCACATTTTTTTGTCACCTGTTATCAGTTACCGTTGCATGGGAATGGAGTTGCTTCAAGCTCTTCTTTGGGAGGATATTATCATGTAGGATCTTCTTACCAGAGTCCAAGCTCTATCGCCTCATATTATGGATATGACAATCCAGTCAGATTTACCCCTGACATAGGTAAACGGAGGGAGAGGGAGTACAGTTCTTTATCCACCACCACTGATCTTTTTGGAAATCGAGGACCAAGGGCATCCAGCAGGGTAAAGAGTAAGAACAACTCCAGAATTTGCTCTTCTGCTGGTGATTCAACAAATGATTCTAGTACAGCTGGACCAAATCCTAGTCTGTATAACCATCCAGAATTTGTGACGGATTATAAGAATGCCAAATTCTTTATCGTCAAGTCATTTAGCGAAGACAATGTCCACAGAAGTATCAAGTATAATGTCTGGGCCAGCACACCGCACGGCAACAAAAAATTAGATACTGCTTATAGGGACGCGGAGAAGATGAGTGGAAAATGTCCAATCTTTCTGTTCTTTTCGGTATGGCCTTTCCTATATATATTTTTTCGGAGGATAACCAATGATGTAATTGATAATTTTATTTTTTGTAGCAATTAGAAAACAACACCCTGTTGCTTCAAGGGAGCAGTAAGTTTAATCAGAGTTTGAATGTTGCAGGTAAATGCTAGTGGACAATTCTGTGGGGTATCGGAAATGGTCGGACCTGTAGATTTTGAAAAGGATGCTGGTTACTGGCAGCAAGACAGGTGGAGTGGGCAGTTCCCAGTGAAATGGCATATTGTGAAAGATGTACCAAATAACCGATTTTGTCATATTCTTTTACAAAACAATGAGAACAAGCCGGTGACGCACAGCCGAGACTCTCAAGAGGTGGGCACTTACTTTTGTCGTAACCTTGCATTGTGTTGTCTTATGATCATTCATTCGCTGCTGTCACTAGATATCGGTGCCATAATGATCTGCGTCTGTTGGCAAGTGTTGGGCTTTGTGTGCATAAGTCTTGTGTTAAATTATCATGTATGACTAGGAGGGACATCCCCGGGAAAATCCTTGGATGTGTAATAGGTTAAACGTGTTAATAGCTGTTGGTTTATGAAAGATGGAAGCTAAATAAGAGGGAGATGACGAGTTTGTATGACTGCTTTTATAGTTTCTCCTGGAACTAGACTGATGGCATTATAAGGTTTAGTTTGAAGAAAGAGTGCACTTGAAAGGTTTTTAGGCTTAGGGGAGAGAGATTTTTAAGTGGGTTAACACTTGAATTGGATGAAATATAGGAAAAAATAAAGTTTGTGGTGAAGTGAGTTAATTGATTGATGAAGTGTAATAATAGGTGAAGCTGCGTCAGGGGATTGAGATGCTCAGAATATTCAAAGAATACGAGGCACACACATCGATCCTGGATGATTTCAGCTACTATGATGAAAGAGAGAGGCGAAAGGTGGGAGAAGAAGGAGGGAGGAAAGAAAACGGGGAAGAAGCGACCTCATCTGTGGAGCAGTTATCAGAGCGTCTTCAAGTTGTGACAGTAGAAGATGGAAAGGAAGGGAAGACTTAATAACTGATTGATACAGTAATAGTAAATAGTAGAAAGAGGCATTCTTTTTGGTAATCATGGATGGGTTCTTTTTTTTTTTTTTTTGGTGGGTGGGTGCTGTATACTAGAAGATAACAAATGTACTTTGTAGCATTATATGCGTTTTTTCTTTCAAAATCAATGAATCGCTCAGGTGTCTCTACACACTGTATCTCTTGTAATCTGACCCAGCTTGGATCTAAAATCTAAATCTTAAAAAGACGATAGTATAGCAAACAAACTTACAAAAGTTAAGAAAACGACGGCGTTTTACAGGTTATAATAAAAATATGTATCGGCTCGAAACAACAATGATCTTGGTCTGTTGTCCTCCTCCAATGGCGTCCTCTTCTCTTGTCCGAATCGCTGTTGTCGGAGATGTCGTAATGTTATTTCCTCTCTATGTCTCACACCTTCACTTATCTTGTTGATTTGTTTATCTTTTTCTTCTTGTGTTTAAGCATGGCTTCTGGGATCTAGATGAAGATCGAAAGGCTCTTCGCCTACTGCAGGTCCTTTAATTTCCTTTATCTTTCTAAACCACTTTCCATCTCCTATTCTATTCAAATGTTCCCGTGGCTTATGAACCCTAAATCCCGTTATGAACTTGATTTGCAGCCGCATTTGGTGCTCTTCACTGGTAGGCTTCTCTTGTTTTCATTTCCAATTTCTCTACTTTTCTTTATGGGGTTCTTTATACTACCTTTTAATGATTTTGATTAATTCAGAAAATTTTAATCTTAACTCAAAATTATGTCAGGTGATTTTGGTGAGGAGAACGTCCCGCTCGTGCAAAGCGTTGCAGCTCTTCCTCTCCCTAAAGCAGTTATATTGGGCAATCATGATGCCTGGCACACCCATGACTTATTAAGGTGTCTTGCCACTAACTTAACTCTTCTCTGATTTACCCTCCTTCTCAAAATTTTAGTCTTGTGCTTTGATTTATAATCTTGAAATTTTATTTTCTGGTTTTTTTTGTTTCTTTCAGGAGACAAAACCGTGTTCAAATGCAACTCGATATGTGAGCTTTTATCACTTAGTGCTTTGAGGCTTTATGTCTATTGAAACCCTCGCGTGTTGTGTCATATATGGATTCTGCTTGCTCCTCTAGTTTTTCTACCTGGTTATCTTGGGGGATGTTACATGTAATGTAACACTCTGCTGCCATGGTTTTTTTTTTAATTGTTTAGCAACTCTAATATCTAATGAGCATCCTGTCCAAACCCTGAGTCGATGTTAGGCTTTCTCATGATAACTATCAAGTAGTTCAAATAGGTTTAACTCATTGCTTTACCTTATGATCTCTGTTCATGGTTTAATTAGGACTTTCTTCCGGGAACTCCATATATAGAGGAGAGAGTACTCGTCGCGAGACCCATCTCATTTAGGGAGAGGGTTTGTCGGTTGAACCCCAAGGAAATGTTTTCTTTTGGTGTTTTGAAATGGAGCTTTTGGTTTTTCTTTTTGTGATCCCTAGCTTTATCATTATTCATCTAGTCTTTGCGTCTTTGGTTTTGGTTTACTGGAGACGGATTCCAAAAAGTTTTCCTGTGGTTTTTCTTTTTGTTTACCGCTGCAACCAACAGCCTTGGTGATGAGCACGTAGGATATCAACGCGTGGACTTCCCCTCATTTAAGCTCAGCATTGTCGGTGGTCGGCCCTTTTCACATGGAGGAGATCGATTGTTTCGGAAAAAGCTGCTTGTCCAGAGGTTAGCATTTGAAACATGAGCAGAAATGTATGTTCCGGTGTGTTCCATATAAAGTATGAACTATATCATTCATTGTCGCTTTCTAGATATGGAGTTCATGATATGGATGCAAGTGCTGGAAGTATTTGTCGAGCAGCACATGGCACACCGGAAGATCACGTGGTTATAATTCTTGCGCATAACGGGCCAACAGGTGCATCAAACTTTGAAGCTTTCTTATTCCTCTAGTCTTACGCAGGTCAGGTTGAACATAGAAGGGTTAAGTAGTGGTCTTTTTGTCTTGCAAGGTCTTGGTTCTCAAGCAGAGGATATATGTGGAAGAGACTGGGGGGACGAAGGCGGTGACCATGGTGATCCAGGTGAAGTAAGCTGGCTTCTTTTCAATTTGGCATCAATGGCATTTTCCATGCTTCAGACTCCAAACTGCTGATTTTTGGCTGGTTTGGTGACAGATCTAGAGCAGGCAATACGCCAGTTGAAGGAGACAACAAAGTTGTCTGTTCCTTTAGTTGTGTTTGGACACATGCATAAAGAGCTGCAATCGGGGAAAGGAAATCGAGAAATGGTTGTGCAAGACAGTGACAACCAGACCGTTTATGTGAATGGTGCAATAGTTCCGAGGGTTAAAGAGGAAAACTGTCAGGGAAACTACTCTCGGAGACGAATTGGGGAAAATGAAATACCGGTTAGAGCAGCAGAGTTTGAGAGTAGTGGCACGGTCAGAGCTTTTACATTGGTGGAGATTTTAGATGGAAAAATCATAAAAGTAGCTGAAAGTTGGGTACAAGTAATCGGAAGCATGGCCAAGATTGTGGAGGAAATAACATTGTTCGAGGATGTAACTTGATTATGCATGTGATTATATAGTATTTTCTATAATATGTTATAGATTTGAAAATATTTTCTAATTGCATTATATATGTGACAACTTAACCTAAATAAACAACAAGTTGTTGTTTTGCACTTGTGTTCAAGTGTTTAATGTCTGAACTATGAACCATGTACATATGGTAATGGTAGAGTCATATATTTTCTCAAGAAAGTTATGTGATGAATGTACAAGGAAAAGTCGTAAAAGAGATTAGTGGTCTGGTCACTGTGAATGTTGTGAAGAGAATTAGTGGCATGAAAATTCGTTTCTCTAAATAGTATTCGTAACGTTATTAGAGGAGATGAGACACCAGAACACAAACACAGTACTACTAGTTCGTTTGCTAAAGGGGCCCAAATATTATAGATTATATATTTTTCTTACGACATCACTATTACTAATACTAAACTATATAGTTCAGATTTTTGTTAATCGTCGGGAATATTATACAGTTCATTTGCATCAAATATTTGGGTTTTTTCGAAGATGTGGGACCCAGATTAATCTTCGGAAAGGATGAAGTCTTTACCAGCACGCAAAAAAGAAGAAGAGATTATTCGATGGGCCACAGGAACTAGCCCATTTTCCTTGTTTTTTTCTTGTTGTTGCACGGATTTAGCCCATTTTCAGATAGAAGCATAATCTATTTATGAAATTACATTTGCTTAAAGAGTTAATTAGGAAGGAAAAAACGAAATCGAACCCTACGGTCTTTTCCTCGCTCTTCGCCGTGTTTTTAGTGTGTCTCAAACCCCTCCAAGCAAGCTTCTCGGTTTTCCGACCGTCGTGACTAATTCCTTTCTGGTCGTAAGTTTCTTCTTATCGCTTTTGGAAGGTTTTATCTCAATCTGAAGTTCACATTCTCATAAAATGAATTAGTTTAAAGAAATTGATACTCGCATAAACTTTACTTAGATCAGTCGTTATACACTCGCAAAATTTTAACAATCCGAATCGCCGTCTATTGTGATGTTTAGGGTAACAAAATCAAGTTATGGAGTTGTTACGTGGAATTGATCGCGCCGACATACAAGTGTCACAGTCTTAGAACCGAACCTGGTAACTGTGTCTTCTCGTAAACGACGGGTGTGCACTGTGATGATTCTGAAACAGCTGAAACAACTTACATGTAACAGAGCTATTACCCTTCCTTTCTCATGTGTTTCCATCCAATTTCTGAATGTTGTCGCTGCATATTTGTTACCTTGATGCCTTCTGCAGTGTCTGCTACACGCAGGAATGCTGATGTTTTGCGGCTTGCAAAGTTCTATAGCTCTCCTGCTGTTTGCCAAACTTTAAAAACCTCTAAAGCTTACAAAAGACTATCAAAAGATGATCGGCGAGCTGCGGTTGAGTCTTTTGTCAGCAAGTAATTCATTCTCCATAGCTTTCTTTTCTATATCCTTTGTTTGTTATGCTTCTCTCGTAGTTGTCAAAATATTCATAAGAGCATTTGTATAGGCACATGTATAGCAATATTTGCAGCCAAGGTATCTGAACCTCAGAATCACGAACATACCTACTCTTGTGTATGCAGCTACAGAGCAGCTAATGCTGGTAGATTCCCTTCGTTGAGTGCTACTCACAAGGAAGTGGGAGGCGGTTATTACTTTGTCAGGAAAATCTTTCAGGAGCTAAAACTGAAACCAGAAGCATTTTTGCCAATCGTAGCTAAAGCCCTCTCAGACGTACCTGCTTCTGTACCAGATGATGCTTCCTCACAGACTTTAAATGACCCTCAGTCGCATAGTTCTGCTTGCAATGCAAAACATTTATCTCCTGTGGTTGTTCAAGTAAATACCCTTGTTTCTGTGTGATCTGTTAAATTTCCTTAAGACTGCACTTATCACTTGACTCAGCTATCCTTGCATTTGTTTTACAGGCTGGCAGACCTGATACGATTGAGATAGGAAGTGATCAGGCGCAGGCTACAATAGATTCTTCTCACCCTAATTCTCATGAGCCTAATCTTCTGGATAAAAATCTTGTCAGTACTGCAACGAATGATAAACAAGAAACACAGACAGCTTCCAACGATGAGGTTGACAGAAAATACGACAGCAATCTTGTCATTACTGCAACACATGACAAAACAGAAACAGAGACAGATCCTAACAATGAAGTTGACAGTAAATGCGATAGCCATACTCATTTTCCGGAAAGTAAGGCGATAGTATTAGAGGAATCTTCAAAAACCTCAGAGACTGATGAAAAGGAAAATTTGACGCGCTTAGGTAGTCAAGAGTCAAAAGCAGACCATCATGAAGGAGCTGCCGTTTCAGGAAATGTTTTGCCTACTGAGACCAGGTATCTTATACATAAAAACCAGGTCTCTCCTTAGCTGCTTGTGCATATACAGATACTTTAGTTCATCGACGGATCCCTTGTTTTTGAGTAGTTGAAAAAGTCATTTCAAGTCAATCATATTGGCGCAGTATCAGTTTGATTTCTTATCTGTTATTTTTGCAGACAAGTTTCAGAGAAAGGGGCTGGTGGGGTGAAAACAGGAGAAAATTCAAGCGCTTGGAGCAATATGATGTCAATTGCCAGAGAGTTTGCTAACTTTTGGAGAACACGGTAGATTTAGCCTAGGAGGTGTAAAAGCTGCTTTAGTGCGGAAGCTTTTTAGATCTCACTTGTGTGTTTGACCATTTTGTAGAGGCTATGTTTTGTGGTTGGTCATGATTTTGTGCAAAAAGTTTGGAAATCTCTCAAGCTGAGAACATGGTAAAATTTTGTGCAAAAAGTTTGGAATCTCCTAAGATGTCTAACATATGGTATATGGTAAATATAATATAAACAACCATTACTGTCTTGATCACAATGGAGTTTAGATCAAAACACAACATTTTTGCTTGTTTCTTAATTCATTGTCGATTCTACATAATCACAAAAGCCAAAGAAATACACAAATAAAGATTTTATTTTATAGCAATTCTTATAGATGTCCAGTAACGGTACCACCCAAAACCAAATGTATTGAAGACAGGGTGCAGCATCAGCTCTAGCTCCCACGGTATGTGGTGAAAGAAAATGGTGAAAGCAACAGCGGGACGTGGAAATGCTCCCATTTCTGAGATTCTGTAACCTCAAATGCAATGGAAACATAAGGAAAGAAGCCGCCTGGGCAATACTTTGCAGTGTTGAAGCTTATTCTATATGTCCCTGGATTCAAAGCCTCAACCAAATCCATCAATGGCCCGCTACGCCCATCTTTATCAGTAGCTGAAGTTCCCACAATGGACCAGTCCCCACGACTTCCATGACGAAAAGAAGGACTAGTAGTACCATTCCACACCTCCAAGTGCACTTCAACACCTACAGCTGGAGCACCACGCGAGACGTCTAAGACATGGGTCGTGATGGGTGGCCTGCTTCTCTTGGGAACTTTTGCTTCAGCTTCAACATTCAAATGCCCTCCTATGATTCTCAGACGATCTTCTGAAGCAAGCAAGCAAGCAGCAAAGATTACAGATAACACGAGTAGAGGAAGATAACTATGAGGGTATTCCAAAAGGCATATTCTTGATGTCAAACTAGCTCCTAGGAGATAAAGCCCCACACAATCTTGACAAGAAAGAAATTTGGTGAATCACCAAAAATACCTTGAGGTTTTGTTGACTCAGTTTGTGAAACAACTTCAGCCTTATCGCTAAACAACTTTGAAATGCGGAACTCTGTTATCTTCATTTGTTCCTTAGCAGCAATCTCGAGCTCCACTATCGGTCTGTTTTCATACCTTCCCTGAAAAAGAGGCGATTTGGAGAATCTGTAACTGGCTGGGGACTACTAAGAAAAACTGACTTGGAAATGCCAAGTTGACCTTTAACTCGACGAGCATCTCAGAGTGAGTCCTGCCGGAGGCGAAAATGATGAATATAAAGCCAAACTTTTGTCTGTAGAGTGCATTCCACTCGGAAAGCTCCTAAGAAAGCGAAGACAATTCTTCATCATCATCAGAAGAAGAGAAGATGAATAGACGACGAAAAGAAAATGTGGAGAGATCCAATCACCTCTAAGGCAGAAGCAGAAGTTGTGGCAAAGGCGGTGGACTGCTCTGCTACGCTCCGACGAGCAAAATCGGAGTTGTCAGAAGGTGAAGGAGAATTCCCAATTTGAGGATGAGCAGCGAAGGCTTCAAGCCAAGCTGTAACATTCACTTGGTTGAACCAGATGTCTCTTGCAGTCTCGATCGCTGTTTCTAAAGAGTTAAACGGAGCTGTTTTCACCATCAGCTTCGCGAAATCAGAGCTTCCGCAGCAAACCAACCATTCATCTTCTCCGATCTCCATCGCCATTTTTTCTCTCTTTTTTTTTTGTTTTTGTTTTTTTGTGTTCCTTCACCGATCTTTGTATGTGTTTGGTTTGCTAACTGGGCCTTTCAACAATGGGCCTTTCAACAATGGGCCTTTTTCTTAGTAAAATAAGGCCTTTTCTTAGTAAAATAGGCCTTTTCTCTCTCTCTCTTCTTCCTTTTAATTCATCTTCTTCCATAATTACAGAAACATAAGAGTGTAGTAGCGAACAATTTACACAGAAAAGAGATCTCTGTTTTAGGGTTTTGCCTTCTTCTGCTTGTGGCGGGAATAACATAGCATCGCCGGAATGGGGAAAGACGAAGAGGAAATGCGAGGGGAGATCGAGGAGCGTCTAATCAACGAAGAGTACAAGATCTGGAAGAAGAACACTCCTTTCCTCTACGACCTCGTCATTACTCACGCCCTCGAGTGGCCTTCCCTTACTGTCGAATGGCTCCCTGACCGTGAGGAGCCTGCCGGCAAAGACTACTCCGTTCAGAAGATGATTCTCGGTACCCACACCTCCGAGAACGAGCCCAATTATCTGATGCTAGCCCAGGTTCAGCTTCCCCTTGAAGACACCGAGAGCGAAGCACGTCAGTACGACGACGACCGCTCCGAATTTGGCGGCTTCGGCTGCGCCACCGGAAAGGTGCAATTTTTATCCTCTCATTTTCAAATTTCAGGTTGATTCTAGGGTTCAATCGAGTTGAATTGAGAAAATAAAATCTGAGTACTTTGCGCAGGTTCAAATTATCCAGCAAATAAATCACGAAGGCGAGGTGAACAGAGCTCGCTACATGCCCCAAAACCCTTTTATGATTGCCACTAAGACAGTTAATGCGGAGGTGTATGTATTCGATTACAGCAAGCACGATTCTAAGCCTCCTCTTGATGGTGTTTGCAATCCTGATTTAAGGCTGAGGGGTCACAGCTCTGAAGGCTATGGTCTCTCTTGGAGTAAGTTCAAGCCTGGTCATTTGCTCAGCGGCTCTGATGACGCTCAGATCTGCTTGTGGGATATTAATGCCTCTCCTAAAAACAAGGTTATTGACGCCCAGCAGATCTTTAAGGTATGCTTTCATTTCTATCCCTCTTGAATATTGTCTTTGAATCATCCAGAAGGCAAGCAGTCACGCTCACTTAACTCAATCAGTCAAACCCTGTGAAAGGAATATGGACAGATGTTATTAAGTGTAGTTTTTGTGTTTTCCATGCTGATGATAATTTTCTGATGTTAAGGCTCATGAAGGCGTCGTGGAAGATGTTGCATGGCATCTGAGGCATGAGTACCTGTTTGGATCCGTTGGAGATGACCAATACCTTCTTATATGGGATTTGCGTTCTCCATCTGCCAGTAAACCAGTACAGTCTGTGGTTGCTCACTCCATGGAGGTGCGTTTGCAATAAATTGGCTTTAGAAATTGATTAAACTTTTGAGCTTAAGGCTAAGTCTGCATGGTTCATCTTATCTCATAAGTAACCTGGTCTTTTTCCCTAAACACAAAAAAGAAACCATTGAATCATATTGCCTACTCTGTATTTGCTAATGGTTTGGTTGTTTGAAATGCCTCAGGTTAACTGCTTAGCCTTCAATCCATTTAATGAGTGGGTTGTGGCAACAGGGTCAACTGATAAGACTGTTAAATTATTCGATCTACGGAAGCTAAGCAGCGCTCTTCACACATTTGATAGCCATAAGTGAGAACAATTCCCTTTGAAACATATTCTCTGTCACTAAAAACTATTTAGCTCTAGTTAGCTCAACATCGCTAACCTAAATTATTTGCTTTTATCTCCAGAGAGGAAGTTTTCCAAGTTGGTTGGAACCCGAAGAACGAGACAATCTTAGCCTCATGTTGCCTTGGTAGAAGGCTTATGGTTTGGGACCTTAGCAGGTTTGTGCAGTATACTTCGTTGCTTAGTTCTGAAATGTTTATGTTTGGTCATGGTGTAGGAATATTTATGTGTTTGAGCCTATCTTATTACAGGATCGATGAGGAACAGACAGTGGAGGATGCAGAGGACGGTCCACCTGAGCTGCTGTTTATCCATGGTGGTCACACCAGCAAAATTTCAGATTTCTCGTGGAACCCTTGTGAAGATTGGGTTATCTCCAGTGTAGCTGAGGACAACATACTCCAAATATGGCAGATGGCTGAGAACATTTATCATGACGAAGATGATGCTCCAGGGGAAGAACCAACAAAAGGTTCCTAGCTTATTATTTAGGTTCTTATCTTTTGGACACTATTTTATACATCTGTGCTTTTCATTGGTTCAAGTAATTAGTGTAAGTTGTGTAAAACTTGACATGAGATGAGGTTACTTTTTCATTCCGCGCTTCCATATTATTTTGCTACTCAACAAATTACTTGAGGCATAATGGTTTGTCTTTAAAAATAAAAATAACAGAATTTATCCAAACCAACACTGAAACGATTAGTTAATGCCAAGATTTGGTGTCATACAACTTTGAATCGAAGTCTCAAACATCAACCTCAACCTGAGGTTCGCTGTCACAATGATTTTATTAAAGGCATAAAAGCTTCTGGATAGCTTTGGTTTGTTATTTGATAACTAGTGATCGAAGAGAGCCCTGTATTGGGAAGCCTCGTCAGCCATCTCATCAAGGCTCCTATCAACCCGGTCTTTATCTAGATCAAGCTTCTGCTTCAGTTCCTTCTCCTTCTCATCAATCTACAACAAGGTAGCAACACCATAAGATATTTTATAAACTCCAAGCTAGCAATGTGATCAAAAGAAAGTAACTCACCGCATCATAGATTTCATCATTCTTCTCAAAGTCACCACCTTTACGAGGCAACACGTGAATGTGTACATGGGGAACACTCTGTCCCGCCTGAGGGCCATCCTAGAGCAACCATTCCAATTCCAATGATTTCAGATTCACACACGAGGAAGAATGAAGTGGATGGACACAAAGAAAGGAGATTTGAGAAGCTGTTTACTTACTTGGATGGCTAATGTGAGAGAAGATGCTTTATGGAATGTCTCAATCCGAGAGCCAACCTTCTGAGCAGTAAGCCACAGATCGCTCGTCTCATCAGCTGTGAGATCAGTAAAGCGCGGCACAAGGCGTCTTGGGCAGACAAGAACATGTGCTCGTGTGGTCAAAGTCACTCAAAGGAACTCAAATTCGAAAACAAAACCAAAACAGTGAAAACAAGAAAAAGGATATGACCTGCAAAAGAAAGAAAAATGGGAAAAAACAAGGTAAGACTAAGAAGAAAGAAGAAGAAGAAGAGAAATGGGAATGAATGATTGGAGAGGAAGGAGCAATACCAGGAAGAAGCGGGCGGAGATTAACCATGGCATAAGAAAAAGGGGTTGCGTAGAACACTTCACGCGGATCGATCTTGTAAGGCCCAAAGACGTAGGAGGAAGAAGTCGACATCTGCATCAATCAAAAACACTGAAAAATCAATCCTTTCTAACTTTATAAACTAGAGACAGTGATAAATCGTGTGCCTCTCTCCGACAGCGAATGCTTGACAAGATCGCCTTCCCGCTTATTTGCAGCTTCAGCATCTCGGCGACACCTGCATCGCCATTTGAGTCACTGTTACACCTTTCCTCTTTCTTGCTCATGGGTTACAAAGGCCCATAACGACTGATTGGGCCTTTAACTTGTAAAACCCAAGCTCAATATCTTATTAAATCAATTAAAAAAAAAAGAGTTGAGAAAGAGAGAAGATGATGATAATGGATCACCCCCGGCAAAAAAGATAAGATTTTTGCAGATTCCGCCTCGATCAAAAGACTCAAAAATCAGCAATGTGGAGCGTCACCGGAGCTTTGGGTGTGGCGGTGCCTACCACCGCCGCTTGCCGTCGGAAACCCTTTCTCGTCTCCTCTTCGCTTCCCAAGCAGACGACGAAACTCCATCTCTCATCGCCGCAGTTAACTCTTCCATCATCACATTTCTCGTCGTCTTTCAAAACCTCTGCCACCACCTCCGTACAACAACAGTCGGATAATAAGGTTCCTCTTTTCTCTCTCTATTCTCCTTCTCGACTATCAATCAAATCGCTTACGTTTAGTTGGGATAAAATGCGATGATTTTGCAGGGAGAGAGGACCAAGTACTACTTCCTGGTTGCGAACGCCAAATTCATGCTTGACGAAGAGGAACACTTCCAGGAGCAATTGTTTGAACGTCTTCGATACTACGGAGAGCGTGAAAAGGAGCAAGACTTCTGGCTTGTCATTGAGCCCAAATTCCTTGATAAGTTCCCCAAAATCACTCAGAGACTTCGTCGTCCTGCCGTAGCTCTTGTTTCCACCAATGGCCCATGGATCACGTTAGAACCCTAATCCTCAAATTCTCTCTCTTTACAAAACTATACATTCCTCGTTCTTTCCAACAGACAATTTTTGTGTTTTTTTTGCTCTGTGTTGACAGGTTTATGAAGTTAAGATTGGATCGTGTTTTAGCTGAATCCTTCGAAGCTAAGTCTCTTGATGAAGCCTTGGCTTCCAATCCTGCAACTCTAGAGTTCGATCAGCCTGAAAAGTGGGTGGCGCCATACCCCAAGTATGAATCTGGATGGTGGGAAACTTTCTTGCCTAAAGAAATCCAAGAATCTGTAGTATAGAACATTGCCTTTTTGTCTATTTTTGTATTCTCCAAATCCAGCTTTGTCTTAGTGCTTTCTAGCTTGTATTACTGAGCTTCTTATATTTCTGTGTACTCCAAATATGTTGCAACTCGTTGAGTCTAGTGAGCAAAATTGATCAAGGCCTATTTCTACTTTGTAAGTTGCACATATTTCTGATCAATCAAGGGTTCTGTGTTCTACCTCTGGATCAGGGCAAGTTTTTTCTAATTTCAACTCTTTCATCATTTTGTATTTGTGACAAATCATAGTGGAAATTATACTTTACTTACTCCATGGGGATAAAAGGGACTATATTACCAAGTGACAAGCACAAATTTCAAATTTTACAATGTGGTGAATGTTGCTACACTTGCAGGAGATGTATTCATGAAAACCTATACACGGTAAGCTCCACTGGTGGTTAAGTTCATGAAGTTACTCTTGTGCAGCTAGATTTGCAATTTCCGCAAGGGGCTTCCACATGAACTTTCTCCTGCAGGGGAATTTGGGTGGTGGTCAAGCAAAGTGCAAACATAGATGATTTTGATTATATGGAAAGAAATGATGTTCTCACCAGTTTCCGCATTCAGCAATAACCCTGACATTAGGACGAAGAGAAGGAAGCAAAGCGAGAAATTGAAGTTCAGACTTGGAGAGGACCTGATTGGTTTATAAGAATATATCAATTAAAGATTAGATGCAGTATGAGGGATTCAAATCAAGTGAGAGAAACTCAAACCTTTGCTTCGAGGACCCATACAACAAGACCCTTGGCATTAGGGGGAAGAGCAGAGAGCCTGTAGTCAACTTCTGGTGGATAATACCACCTTGCTATGGGCTGTTTCCCAAGGTGAGCCTAGAAGAAGAAAAGAGTCAGGTTTCAAATACTAAATTATTGAAACAAGATTAACGGAGGAGATGGAAGAAGACAGACATACAGGGCAAACAGGATAGGGGTTGAGGAGGGTGGTCTCAGGGTCACCAAGCCCTCGAGCAGAGATGTCAAGAAAGTAGTAGCCTTGGCTTTTGAGACGGTTTAGATACCGACCTTCGTAGCCACCCTCGTGAGGAGTGTAGATGGCGATTGCCTTGTGCCCTTCCACATCCTCAAGCCAACGACCAATGTCCAGCTTCACCAGGTCTCCTCCGATGAAGTCACTTATGCTTCTGCATCTCACGCCTTTGCTTCTTCTCTCCTTCCTAGTATTCACAGAAAAGGGTCTAAATGTTTTGCTCTTCACTTGCGAGGCTTCAAAACACGGCGGTGACACATGTTGTATGCATACTGCACGGCTTCCCATCTCCTTACTAAAAATGATATGTTTGAGTAAAGCGCGTAATAACCATTGCTTGGCGACGACGATGATGATGAAAGAATGGTGGAGAAATGATGACTCCACACGACAAAGGGGATAGACACGACTGGGCTTCCAAATTATTGGGCTTTGTTTTTAGGCCCATCAAAAACCGTCGACCGTCACGACATGTTAGCTAGCTCGGGAGTGAGAGAAACACGAAAGGACTCGCCGGCGTAAACTGTCTGAAATACTTTCAGAGAAGAAGGGATGTCGAGGGGATCTCGGCTCCTTACGGCTCCTGGCCACATACTCCGTCGCGCTTATCTGCACCCTCAAAGCAAAATCCCATCTTTTTCCTACCGTCTTCGCTCTGATTATCTTCTTCATCATCATGGCTTTTCCAGTTTCATCACACGTAACTCAATTCGGACATCTCCCGCTATCAATGCCTTTCTCTCCGATCCATACCCTTCCCCAATTCGTTCTGTTCAACGGAGTGCCATGGTTAACGGAAGTGCCCAGTTCTCGACTTCCAGTCCAAATTCCAATCAAGAAGCCACTAAGTCTAAGCAAATCAAGACGGTCTCGTCGGACTCAGATTCGGCTATGGCTGACATGAAGATCCTCCGCACGCTTGCCGGATACTTGTGGATGAGAGACAACCCAGAATTCCGCTTCAGGGTCATCACTGCCTTGGGATTTCTCGTGGGGGCTAAGGTCTTGAATGTCCAGGTCCCTTTTCTCTTCAAACTGGCTGTTGATTGGCTGGCCTCAGCCACTGGTACCGGCGCCTCTATGTCCACCTTCATGGCTACAAACCCTTCTCTTGTTGCTGCGTTTGCTACTCCTTCTGCAGTTCTTATTGGATATGGCATTGCTCGGACCGGCTCTTCTGCTTTTAATGGTAACTCTGAGTAGCTCATTTTTTTCTGAAAACAGAAGCGAAAAAGAATGCATTTTTCACTCTTGGCCTTGCTACTTTCATCATCGCAGAACTTCGTACTGCTGTGTTCTCGAAGGTAGCTCTCCGCACAATACGATCTGTTTCTAGAAAGGTAAATGCTGCTTTTATTCTAAATAATCTTGACGATGCAGATTTAAGGTGTATACTCTGTCTGATGTATCAATCGTATTCACATAATGCCTTTGCAGGTGTTCTCACATTTACATGATCTTGACCTTCGTTACCACCTAAGGTATCTGTCTCTCCTCTCCTACTCTGTTGAGTAATCTCGCTCGTTCCATTTCATCTCATCATAACTTTCTTATTTTGTTGCTCATTTCCAGTCGAGAAACAGGTGGTTTGAACAGAATTATTGATCGTGGTAGCCGTGCAATAAATTTCATCCTCTCAGCTATGGTTTTCAATGTGGTTCCTACCATTTTGGAGGTAAAGCTTTTCTGACAGCTTTGTTGTTTATCATGATCATGGATTTTTCTCATTTTGACTAATAGATATCTGCTACCGATTCTTTCCAGTTTGAATTACTCCTTTGTCTCTAAAAACAGTCGACGTAATTAATATGTATCTTCCAGATATCTATGGTATCAGGTATACTAGCATACAAGTTCGGAGCTCCGTTTGCCTGGATTACCACTCTCTCTGTTGGAGCATATATCGCCTTTACATTAGCTGTGACACAGGTACTGTGCATTCTTTGGTAAACTCTTTTCACAGCCATCTATGATGCAATACTTGCGTTTTTATCGTGATAAAAGCTAGCACTGAATGTGATAATCTGCTTAAGACACCACCGTACAGTGGTCTTGAACTCATTACTAATCTTCTTTGACCGTAATTGTATCAAATCTTTGCATGGGCTTGAATCATTCTAGTTATGATAGGTGTGAATTCCTTATAGAAGGATGATTGTCTTTATACATCTCTTCATCTTTCATTATCTTGTTACAAATAATTTTGGTGTCACATGCTGTGCTCACGTTTTATTTATTTTATCCAGTGGCGAACCAAGTTTAGAAAGGCTATGAACAAAGCTGATAATGATGCTAGCACAAGGGCCATTGATTCTCTGATAAATTATGAGGTAAAATTCTTCTTTTTGTTTTTTAGTTCTTGAATTGCTGTTTTGACAGAATTTCTGTTTTGTTTCAGACTGTTAAGTATTTTAACAATGAAGGTTATGAGGCTGAAAAGTATGACCAGTTTCTGAAAAGTAAGTAACTGTACTAGCTGTTTAGCATGGAAAACAGATTTATCTAAATTTCCACCAAATGCTCCAGTTTTACTTTTAGCACGAATACTAGCTACAAGAAACCAATAAAGATAAGGAAACGCGCTGTTGACTGTTTTGCATCTTTATTGAGATGTTTTTTTAAAACTTGGCAGAAAACAGATTGTGCTTATCATAAGATATCTTTGCTCAGTCCATTTACCTTGATTTATCTTGAGATAATTCTGCTGCTTAAAACAGGATATGAAGATGCTGCCCTGCAAACTCAAAGAAGTCTTGCTTTTCTAAACTTTGGACAAAGTATCATATTTAGTACAGCTCTATCAACAGCAATGGTGTTGTGCTCTCAGGGTATCTTGAATGGCCAGATGACAGTCGGTGACTTGGTCAGTGCCTCCTTTGATTTTTTTCATCTCCATTGGTATTTAATGTTTCTCTGCATTTCGATGCAAATATTTTTTTTAGGCTTTTGAATGTTTGGGCGTTGCAGGTTATGGTGAACGGACTTCTCTTTCAGTTGTCTCTTCCTCTAAACTTTTTGGGTAGTGTTTACCGTGAAACCATTCAGAGCCTTGTGGACATGAAATCAATGTTCCAGTTGCTAGAGGTATATGAGGATGTTATAAGTGTTGCTTTAAACTCTGAAGTTTGTTTAAATTTCTTGAACACTTTTTTTATGCTAATGCTTCAGTCAAGAAGTGATTCCTGGAATGTTAATCTGATAATTTGGTATTCTCTTACTGCTTCAGGAGAAATCTGACATCAGAAATATAAATGACGCAAAGCCTCTTGTTCTGAAAGGTGGAAACATTCAGTTTGAAAATGTACACTTCAGGTAGGTGTTGATTTTATTGGAAGTTGGAACACTGCTAGTTAGTATTTACCGAACAATCGAACACACATTACCAAAAACACCTACCAATAGAGGACGACTTTTACAAATAAACTTGTAGAGTTTATCAAAGTGGCAGATATTAGGATACATTGCATGATTTTGATATCAGCTTCATGTGTGGCTGAAGACGAAGGGGGTTGAATTACCTATGTCTATTGTCACATAATCATTCTTTTTTTCTCCAATTACAGTTACCTTCCAGATAGAAAAATTTTAGACGGAATTTCCTTTACCGTACCGGCAGGAAAAAGTGTGGCAATCGTTGGTACTAGCGGGAGCGGTAATTCCTAAAGCGCGTCTGTTTCAGCATCTAAATTAACATTTATTACTCTGTTATACCTTTGCAAATCTTATGCTTTGTTATATGGCAGGCAAGTCAACAATTCTTAGAATGCTATTTAGATTCTTCGACACAGATTCCGGAAATGTAAGCATTTTTTTTCATTTGTCTGTGAACTATTTGGCCTCGTTTGGAAGCATTTTTGCAACAAAAGTAAACCCTGCTGCAGAGTTCACTGAAAAAAAAGTCTGGTGTCTAGATAACATCTTTTTCATGTTGGTCAACAGGTAAGGATTGACGGGCAAGATATCAAGGAAGTGAGACTAGATAGCCTCCGAAGCGCCATAGGAGTTGTCCCACAAGATACTGTAAGTTGGCATTACTGAATTTTCTCTGTTTTTCTCTACTTCTCATCGTAAGCATTTGTTTGTACAAAACCTGCATTTTTTGCTTTCTCGCCTTCCTTCGCATTCTAACCTTTCTGTTCATACAGAACACTGGATATATTTTTATTCGTCATTGTTAGTTTTCTATTATGTAGAACAGTCCAAGTTTTGTTGTTCTCAAGGGTAACATCTATTGCACTGCAGGTGCTCTTCAATGATACAATATTTCACAACATACATTATGGACGTCTTTCAGCTACAGAAGAAGAGGTACCAGCCACCTTATACTCGATGCAGGCATCAAGTTTAATTTCAATAATCCTTTTCATACGCATATTTCAATCCAGGTGTATGATGCTGCTCGGCATGCTGCAATTCATGACACGATCAGTAATTTCCCTGATAAATATTCAACGATTGTTGGGGAAAGGGGGCTCAAGGTCAGTATTTTGATGTTATATTTGGAATGTTTTTAAACAGATCAGTATCTGCCTTGTTAGTCCAGTGGCAAGTCGCATTTTGCATGATTGAGTTAGCCCACCCTTAGTCATGGGCAATATCAAAGTAAAAAACAAGCTAAGTCAATCAGGCTTCCAAGTCAAAGTTCACCTGTTAAAAATTGGAGATCGAAAAGAAAATGATTCGAGAAACTATTTTCAGAGAACTGTAACAAGCCTGAGAGAGAAAGATTAGCTGAGAGAGTAGCAATGACGAGTGACCGTTCAGATTTATTGATGGGGTTTTTTGGTCGTGATAACCATGGAGTTGTTATGTTGTGTGCAGTTGAGTGGTGGAGAGAAACAAAGGGTGGCACTTGCTCGGGCATTTCTGAAATCCCCTGCGATTCTGTAAGTAATTTTGCACAGATGCAGCTTGCGTATGTGATTAAGTAGGTGTTGAGAATCCTCACTTACATAATAACTTGAGATGAGATTCGAGATGGTTGGTGTAAAATGGCACAGGTTGTGTGATGAGGCAACGAGTGCGCTGGACAGCACAACAGAGGCAGAGATACTTAACGCACTCAGGGCATTGGCAAGTAACAGGACATCCATCTTCATAGCCCACAGGCTGACCACTGCGATGCAATGCGATGAGGTTTGTAGTAAATAGTGTTTGTTTAACTTAAGCTAGAGAAACAAAAGTGAAACTTATGTGTGGGTGTGTGTGTGCAGATAGTAGTACTAGAAAACGGAAAGGTGGTGGAACAGGGCCCCCACGAGGTTCTGTTGGGGAAGGCAGGCAGATACGCCCAGCTATGGACACAACAAAACAGCACTGTGGATATGATTGATGCAGCTATCAAATTGGATGGCTAATATCCCAGAGGCAAGCAAGAGTGTAAAATTGTTATACATCTCATTGATTCTGTACTTTTTTTACTGTATGGAATATGTAGTTAATAGGTTCTCCCAAAGGACACAAAACAGAAGGGGATAATAATGGTGAATTGATATACACACAACACAATTTTGTGTGGAGTTAAAAGATGTTGGTGAGAATGGAAGGAAATATGATCAAATAGATATGGGAACTGGGAAGTAAGCAATGAAAGACTTAAAAAAAAAAAAGTAAATGTAACAGAAAAAAAAAAAAAAGGAAATCAAAGGCAGACTAAAAAAAAGGAAATCAAAGGCCGACTACAAAAAAAGGAAATCAAAATACAAATAAAAAGGCCCATCTCAAAATTTTCGGCCTTTTTAAGAGGACACCCCTAAATAGTTCGGTTTTCAATCGACTTCTATAATTTTATTCGCAATCGCACTTTTCTTTCTCTCTACTCCAAAAACTCTCAGAGATCTCTCACATAAAAATGGCAGCGGCGATGGTTCTTGACCCTAAAGCATCTCCGGCCCTGATGGATATGTCTACGGCGGACGAGGAAGATCTCTACGGCCGCCTGAAATCGCTTGAGCGGCAACTAGAGTTCACCGATATCCAAGAAGAATATGTGAAAGACGAGCAAAAGAATCTCAAACGGGAGCTCTTACGGGCTCAAGAGGAGGTCAAGCGAATTCAATCCGTGCCTCTAGTGATAGGTCAGTTCATGGAGATGGTAGATCAGAACAACGGCATCGTCGGATCCACGACTGGCTCCAATTACTATGTCCGGATTCTCAGCACCATCAACAGAGAACTCCTCAAGCCTTCAGCTTCCGTCGCCCTTCACCGTCACTCAAACGCCCTTGTTGATGTCTTGCCCCCTGAGGCCGATTCTAGCATCTCCCTTCTCAGCCAATCTGAGAAGCCTGACGTGACCTACAATGTAAAGTCTCATCTTTTCTTGGTCTTAATCTTTTAAGTTAGTGTTTGAGTTTTGAAAGTATCGTTTTTTCTTATGTGGGTGATTCATTCTTTTGTGTAGGATATTGGAGGATGCGATATTCAGAAACAGGAAATTCGCGAGGCTGTTGAATTGCCACTTACCCACCACGAGCTTTACAAACAGATTGGTATTGACCCTCCACGTGGTGTGTTGCTCTATGGACCTCCTGGTACCGGAAAGACTATGTTGGCTAAGGCTGTTGCCAACCACACAACCGCTGCCTTCATTAGGGTTGTTGGCTCCGAGTTTGTGCAAAAGTACCTCGGCGAGGTATTAATAAAAACCATAGCTTTCTTATATATTTGAGTTTCTATTGGGCTTTTTCTATTTGGTATCTTAACTTTCCCTTCAATTGCAGGGACCTCGTATGGTTCGTGATGTCTTCCGTCTTGCCAAGGAAAATGCTCCAGCTATCATCTTCATTGATGAGGTAGATGCCATCGCTACTGCTAGGTTTGATGCTCAGACAGGAGCTGATAGGGAAGTTCAGAGGATTCTCATGGAACTACTTAATCAGGTGAGGAAACAAATTAGTGTACCTTGATATTCTGAAATCTTTTAGGGTGTAATTATGTCTTGTGGTCTATAAATGGTTATTCTTGCTGATACCTGGCTTTCAGATTGAGTTGTATTCTAACTTGTGATGTTGAATTCGATGTAGATGGATGGATTTGACCAGACCGTGAATGTGAAGGTTATAATGGCAACCAACAGAGCAGACACTCTTGATCCTGCTCTCTTACGTCCTGGGAGACTTGATCGTAAGATTGAATTCCCCCTTCCTGATAGACGTCAGAAGAGGCTTGTTTTCCAGGCAAGTTAACTACTAGAAGCACTTGATTGTTGAATAACTAGTGCATATTATATGAAACTGATTTTTTTCTTAAAAGAGTTTGTTTACTGCTCTCTCTTCAAATACAATCATATAGGTTTTTCACAGTTTCCTTCTCATTGACTGGTATTTCCTTGTGTAGGTATGCACCTCCAAAATGAACCTCAGCGATGAGGTTGACTTGGAAGATTATGTTTCACGGCCTGATAAAATTAGCGCTGCTGAGGTTAGTTTATCTTGCTTACTATTCTATGTTCCCACTAGAGTTTGCTTTTGCATTAATATACCTATGATATTCTTGCCGAATGTGCACTTGAGCATACTCCTAATCATAGATGGCTGTTTCAAGCATTATGTATGGATGCTAGCCAAGTCGCATAATCTTTGGACATAATTTTCCGTAACTGAATTACTAAGATTCCAACCTTGTCTAGAAGATGGTTTGTTTTACTTAATCTGGCCTTTATGTACATGAAAACTGACCCTACAAGGATTGCGTGAAAGTCCTTAATAGCCAGTATTGTTCAGCAAAGATAATAGATATGAAATAACTCACTATTCCAATATTATGTGAACAACGCAGATAACAGCAATCTGCCAAGAAGCTGGAATGCATGCGGTGCGTAAGAACAGATACGTGATACTGCCTAAGGATTTCGAGAAGGGTTACCGCGCTAATGTGAAGAAGCCAGACACGGACTTTGAGTTTTACAAGTGAGGAGCAAGGAGAGATGGGAATCAGATTATGGGCGTTGTTAAATTTCCGATGTTTTTTAATGGATATGGATTTACAGTCTAATGTATGAACTAAGTTGCATCTTTAATTTATGGAGCTCAAGTTCACATGGTTTTGTGTTTAGTCTCTCAGCTTTTACAGTTAAGTTTAATATGAAGTAAGTTGCATCTCTAATCCTTCTAAATAGTTATAATTCGTAGACTTCAAGTACACATGGGTTTGTGTTTAGTCTCTCAGCTTTTTACAGTTCCATTTATAAGAAATACAGAGGATGATGTCTGAGAGTTGGCAAAAGCATAGTACAAGAGGAAGCAGCAGGTAATAATGATGTCTTGTTTCTGATTAAAAAGACAGAAATAGTAATGATAAAGAAATGGTTCATATAGAAGAGCGAGCTGGGCTTATTTTCTTAGACAACATCGCACATCACAATGATCTTGTGTTGGGATTGGATCTTATTTTGGGATTTGGTAGATGATGACATGACTAGTTTCACTTTTACATAGTATCCGCGATCAAGAATGATGCAAATCGAGATAGAATAGTAACAGGAGTGGTTGGACAGGTCAGGACTATTATTTACCATATCCAAATGATTACTTTACCCCAAAAAAAAAAAACGTAATAAATTAGACTTCTTTTTCGGACAAAATTTGCATTTGGCTGAGTGTATTTGTCATTTTGCCATCTCTTTAGAATCTTAAGCTTGGTCAATCTCAGGTCTCTCTCTACTCTAGCGTTTGTTGCGGTCTTAACACATTAATATGATTTAATCTAACGACTCCTTTTGAAGATTGTCTTACCCTTAACTAATACGCCTCTTTTGTTTAACTTCACCTCACTTTTCCTTCTTCTTCTTCTTCTCTCTGTCTCTCTCACTAGTCCCTACACACATTGCCTTTTCTTTCTTCTTCTCTTTCACCATTTCAAAACAGGCATCATTGTCTTTCTTTCCTTCAGGTTACTTGAGTTCTTTAATGCCCACAACTTTCTTACTTCGTTAGCTTGCCCCTCTACTCTCAGGTTTCTCTTTCTCTCTTCTTACTGTTTTTGGATTTTTGTAAATTTTGCAATTGTCTACTTGTGGAATTATACTTAAAATCGCCATTGTTTCCGGCTGGGTGGGTAGGAAAGTTTTGAGACTTTACAGTCTAGTGACGTGGTGTATTAGTTCCTTGCTTTTGTTTTTCCAATTTGTTGGATACATGTTGTTTGTTCAACAACTCCGGTAAAATTAGACACTCAAACTCAACTTTGTTTACTTAGTTACATTGTCCATATGATGGACTGACCTCTGCTTCTTTCTCTATATCTTTGAGAAAAAAGGAGTTGCTTTTCTATGCACATCAATGTTTTGGGTTAAAGTTTGGTTCTTTAGCTTTATTCCTTTTGCTTTTTTTTTTCGCTAGATGCTTCCATCTCTTATCTTAGCCTCTTGGATAGTTTAATCTCCCAATGATAAAGATAAAGATAGACAATGGCATACTTTTTCTTAAAGACAAACCTCTGCATCTTTATTTGTTTTTTCTTCCCATCTGTAGTTTTTATTGCTGATATGCTCGTTTCTTTCAGAATTATATACTAGTTATCAACTCTCAATGTTGTGATCTAGTCTAAGGACTGGGCCAAGCAAGCTTCCTTTCCAGAACTAGGTGTTGCAATATTGGCTTCTGTGGTGAAAGTCACTGCTCATCATCTTCTTCTTTTCTTTTGAAGCAGGAGGGACAGGAATTCATGCTGAAGATGCAGCTCCATTTCCAGTTTGGTTCAATTTTTACTTTGAAATCCTCAAAGTGCTTCTTGTCTGCTTGTCTTGTCTCTTTCTTATTTGTCACAAGTATTGCGGACCTGAACTCGGATAGGCAAGCTCTTCTTGCCTTTGCTGCTTCTGCTCCTCATCTTAGAAGGCTCAACTGGAATTCCACTAACCATATTTGCAAATCATGGGTTGGTGTCACCTGCACTTCCGATGGTACTCGTGTTCTCGCTCTCCGCCTTCCTGGAATTGGGCTCGTGGGACCAATCCCTCCAAACACACTTGGTAAACTAGAATCACTCAGGATTCTCAGTTTGAGATCAAACCTCCTCAGTGGTAACCTTCCTCCTGATTTACCATCTCTACCTTCACTACGTTACCTTTTTCTCCAACATAACAACTTCTCCGGTGAGGTTCCTTCCTTCTTGTCCTCACAGCTCAATGTCCTAGATCTCTCTTTTAACTCTTTCACTGGGAAGATACCAAAAACTTTACAAAATCAGAAGCAACTGACAGGGTTGAGCCTCCAAAATAACAAACTTTCTGGACCAATACCTAATCTTGATACTGCAAGCCTGAGACGTTTAAACTTGAGCAACAATGATCTTAACGGTTCAATACCCTCTGCACTTGGTGGGTTTCCCAGTTCATCTTTTTCCGGAAACACATTGTTATGTGGACTTCCTCTGCAACCATGTACCGCTCCCTCTCGTCCTTCTCCTCTTACCCCACCCATCATCTCACCTCCATTGCCGCCGTTTCCTCACAAAGAAAGTTCAAAAAGGAAATTACATGTAGGCACGATCATTCTTATTGCAGCTGGCGGGGCTGCCCTGCTGCTATTAACCACTGCGATTATATTATGTTGCTGTATCAAGAAAAAGGACAAGAGGGAAGATAGCATTGTAAAAGCAAAGACTTTGACTGAGAAAGCAAAGCAAGAATTTGGAAGTGGGGTGCAAGAACATGAGAAGAATAAGCTGGTGTTCTTTGAAGGATGCTCCTATAACTTTGATCTAGAGGATTTATTGAGGGCATCAGCGGAAGTACTAGGAAAGGGTAGTTATGGGACAGCATACAAGGCTGTATTAGAAGAATCCACTACTGTTGTGGTAAAAAGGTTAAAGGAAGTGGCAGCTGGGAAGAAGGAGTTTGAACAGCAGATGGAGATCATCGGTCAGGTAGGACAACATCCTAGCGTGGTTCCTCTCCGTGCATATTATTACTCCAAGGATGAGAAGCTCTTGGTTTATGACTACTACCCTGCTGGTAACTTATCATCACTCCTCCACGGTTAGTCTTCTTCCCATCTCTGTTTAACTGTATTGCTTTACCTTGTTGTGTTACTTAAGATTATCTTGATTTTTTTTATGACATGACAGGTAACCGTGAAAGTGAGAGAATGCCTCTTGACTGGGACTCCAGAGTGAAAATCACGCTCGCAGCAGCAAAAGGTATAGCTCACCTCCACGCAGTTGGAGGTCCAAAGTTCAGCCATGGAAACATAAAGTCCTCAAATGTGATTATGAAGCAGGAGAGTAGTGATGTGTGCATTTCTGACTTTGGTCTGGCTCCTCTGATGGCTGTGCCCGTTGCCCCAATGAGGGGTGCAGGCTACCGCGCACCAGAAGTAATAGAAACAAGGAAACACACACATAAATCTGATATTTACAGTTTCGGTGTACTTATACTCGAGATGTTGACTGGCAAGTCTCCAGTGCAGTCACCAAGTCGGGAAGACATGGTTGATCTCCCCAGGTGGGTGCAGTCAGTGGTGAGAGAGGAATGGACAAGTGAGGTGTTTGATGTTGAGCTAATGAGGTTCCAGAACATTGAAGAAGAAATGGTACAGATGCTGCAGGTTGCTATGGCGTGTGTGGCTCAAATGCCCGAGGTACGACCAACCATGGATGAGGTGGTTAGGATGATTGAAGAGATACGAGCTTCGGACTCTGAGACACGGCCATCTTCGGATGACAATAGCAAACCCAAGGACTTCAACGTTCAAACCACCCCTTGATTTATCTTTCCCTTTTTTTATATCTATGCTTTTGAGTTTGTAAGTCTTTTGTGTTGATTGTTTGGTGATCACTTGCCTGACTAGCAAGACGCAGTTGGAGGCGTGTGTAACATTTACATAGCAATTATTGTACACTCTTTTCTATGTGTCTCTCGATATATATGAATATGATCCAATTTTATGCAAGTATAATATCCAAAAGATGGATTTAAAGGAGTTCCGAGAAGATAAATAAAGAGGAATCAGGGAGAGAGAGAGGAGGCTGCTTGAAGGAGGAATTTGTGGAGATCTTGAGGCTGGGAGAAAAACGCAGAGTGATCACTGTCTGGAAGAAGGAAGTGTTGAGCAGGAGGCCACAGGGCCACCATTATGTCTTGAAGTTTTGGTTGGAACATATGGTCCTTGCCTGTCTTCATGTACACCCTTGGGATGTTGTCAATCTCTGCTGCTTCTGAAATATCCATTATGCCTAGGAATGCCATGACAGGGGCCGGACGCAGAAGCATGGTGGCCAGTGTATAATCCTGATCATACATGAATGAATGAAGGTTGTCTAAAAGGTCTTTGAGGCAGATATCATAATAAAGAGTTTGGTAATAAAGGATAAACCTCCATGGGGCTCTCGTTGTAAAACTTGTCCCGAACATACTCAGGTTTCATCATCATGCTTGTTGGGGGATTTTGGGGACCGTTTCCAAAAGTGAAGTCCCATATCTTCTCAGCTACATCCTCTATCACCACCGAACATATCTTCATTACTTCTCTGAGACTTGGGGGAACCAAAGCACCAGGTTTGACCATGGCTGCTGCAACGTAAACAGCCATGGAAACCTTGGAAGGAAAGCGGCACATGGCAGCCGTCACGCTCCCTCCTCCAATGCTGTGGCTCACAAGAATGACCTTTTGGTCGAAGGGAAGTTGAGAGAGGAAGTCATAGAGAGGCTGGTCGTAGTCATCAAGAGAGGAGACAGTGTTTGGATCAGTTTGGTCAATCCCAGCGCCCTTGAGGTCGATGCAGGTTGCCTTATGTCCATTCTCCCTCAGTGAATTGGCCAGCTTGTACCAACACCATCCTCCATGCCCTGCACCGTGCACAAACACAAAATGATGCTCACTCATCTCCAAATCTTCTTCTCTTATACATCATTTTCTACAATTATCTTTTGTAGCTATACGTGTTATTTCTGTATATGGCTGTGATGTGTTTATCATCATGTCTATTTGTCTTTATCTCTCAGAAGAACGATTGTCAAATGAAGCTTTGTCAAATACATCCTTCTCCACCATACCATGTAAAAGATTATCCTTAATTACTATGTCTCATCTTGAATTTTTCCTTGATGTGTAGGCGTGTAGCCACGTCGGAGCAACTTTGGCGGCCCATACACTTCTTCTAAATCAAGGCACAAGAGGACCAAATGAGATAAACAATTATTTGACATTTTCACTATTTTGTTCTTACAACTTTTTTTTTTCATTCTTTAGAAAAATATCTACATGCTTTTGTTTGAATATGAGTAATCTCCTTAAACTCATGAGTCCACATCACTATGCCACTAAGAAATTGACTCTTCTCCTTTTTTTACGCTATAAGTTTTTAATTGAGTTTTCTTGTTTTCAAACATTAAATAAAATAAATTGAAAACTAAACTAAATTATTGATACTTATTATTTGTTCTTTTTTTCCTACAATGTCACGGTAGAAAGTTCTAACCAGGTTTTCTTATAAACAAAAAAATGTGAGACGTTTTACTTTTACCTGTTGAGCCAAAACACCAGAGAGATTTTTTTTTTAATTATTTGAACAATAACATTTTATGTTGAAACAAAATAGTCATAGATCTATTGTTCTTCAATTTTTGTTATATGATTCTTACTATAGTGCAATGTACGATTTAAGTCCAAAAAAGAAGATTAGTAAGATAATTTTTTCTATTTTCCTTAACTAGTTTTTTTTAAGAAAATAACTGATAGTATTAAATCTAGCAGCTATAATAGATTTTATTCATGATGTAATCACAAAACAATTAAACATTAAGAGAAATTTTTAAAATGGAAAAAGAAAACCATTTTGTCGAAAATTGTATTCTGGGTAATGAGTTGTGCATGTCAAACAATTGGTTTTTAAATCAGGTGCTGACACATCATAAGAAATTAGATTATAAAAAAAAATGTAATTTTTAAATGCAATGAATCCGAAGTGAAATGAAAAGCTAAGGAAGTGGAGCGCCACCAAATAAATTTTGTGTTGGCCCTTTTGGGTCTTAAGACACAGATAACACGATTACTCCCTAAAAACCTCTGGAAAAAAGTCTTCCCATTTAGTTACATTTAAAAGAAAGAGAAAGGCTTGATTTTCAGACCAAACAAAAAAATATATAGAAAGAAACAAAAAAAAAAGGCAATTCAATGCCTGCTTTATTTGATATTTTGACTGCGTGATGAACCTTCAAGTATGTGAATGGCAACATAATAATAAGGCCATTACTTTTAATGAATAGTCGGTTTGATTAGTGGAGGTCAAATTACAACCCTATAACCTCTTCTCTCTCCACATGGACACTGTGTAATTACTATTAAATAGATAATTTTACAGACAGACAACCAATCACTTGGCCACGTTGATTGCTAAGCACTAGTTAAGACTTGTCCGCAATATCTGTCATAAAGGGTAAGTGTATAAATTCTTTTGACTTAAATTTTTTTTTGTTTGTTTTCAACAACAATCTAAAAAGCTCTGCATCTCCTCCCTCTGCTTCTTCTTGCAAAGCCTCCATCATCTTCTACTTCCTCCTGTCAGGTTCACTTTTTTGTTTGTCGTCTTCTTCTGTGTATTGCGAGTTGTCATGATTCTCTCTCAACAGTGCAGAATCCTTTTTGTTTTTGGAATTTGAGGGGAATACAAAAAAAGAAAAGGACCGACTTTTTGTATTATTTGTCTGACAGACAAAATCTGTATTATTATTTGTCTTCGAAAAGAAGTCGTCTTTTCCCATTGTCTCATGATTGTCTGTTTTGTGTTTCCAGCTTTGCATAGGGTCCATCGATTTTGCAGCCATGGATTATGATCTGGTACATGCACCCAAAAAAAAAAAACTTTTGTCTTTTTCATACCAATTAACAACAATCGATTCTCATTCTTGATTCTGGGTTTTTGCCAGGTTCGTTCCAAGAAGAGTATCAAGCGAGCAGAATCCACCAAATCACATCCATGGTGGTGGGATAGTCATATCGGCCTCAAGAATTCAAAGTGGCTCGAGAATAATCTCGATGGTGAGTAGTCCATCTCATTGTGTCATTTTCCTCTTAAATCATGTTAATGTCGCAATGAAATATCTTATTAGCGTCTTAGGCCTGCCAAATTAGGTGGCTGTAGTCTTTTCATAAAGAAAATGAGTATAAATATGCCTTTTGTAAAATGAAACACGTATATGTTATTTTGTGTGGTGATCAGAGATGGACAGGAGCGTGAAACGGATGGTGAAGCTGATAGAAGAGGATGCAGATTCGTTTGCCAAGAAGGCGGAGATGTATTACCAAAAGAGGCCTGAGCTTATTGGCCTTGTCGATGAGTTTCACCGTATGTACCGTTCTCTGGCCGAGCGCTACGAGAACATCACCGGAGAGTTGAGAAAAAGCTCTCCTTTAGATCTTCAGTCACAGAGCTCTGGCTTTTCAGACATCTCCTCCTCTGAACTCACCACCGAGCTTAATAGGTTAGGACGTCCTCCTTCCCGTCGTGCTCCTGGTTTTGACTACTTCCTTGGCTCTGGAGGACTTCCCTCTGATCTTTATCACAAAGATGCTGATGATTCTGCTTCTATTACCGATTCCGAACTAGAATCTGACGATTCGTCTGTGACTAATTGCCTCGGTTATGTGAGCATTGGCTCTGATTTTCAGTCTCTGACCAAGAGGGTCGCTGATCTTGAGATTGAGCTCCGTGAAGCCAAGGAGAGACTCAGGATGCAACTTGAAGGAAATACTGAGAGCTTGTTGACAAGGGTCAAAAGTGAGAGTAAATTCGTTGATTTCCCAGCAAAACTTGCTGCTTGTGAGCAAGAACTGAGAGATGCAAACGAGAAGATACAGAGCTCAGAAGACCAAATATATATGTTAAAGAGTCAGCTTGCTAGGTATTTGCCATCCGAGTTGGATGACCAACATGGTGAAGAGGCAGCTTCCACCACCCAAGACCTGGACAGTCAGACTCTGTCTGAAGAGCTGAGAATTACAAGCTTGAGGCTTCGGGAGGCAGAGAAAGAAAACGGCATCATGAGAAAAGAAGTTGAGAAATGCAAGTCTGATGACGCAAAGCTCAAGAGCCTGCAACACCTGCTTGAGTCGGCGCAGAAAGAAACTGCGGCGTGGAAAAGCAAGTCTAGTGCAGATAGAAGAGAGGTGGTGAAGCTGCTGGATAGAGTCTCAATGTTGAAATCGAGTTTAGCAGGAAGAGATCATGAGATCAGGGACCTAAAGACAGCTCTGTCTGACGCTGAAGAGAAGATATTCCCGGAGAAGGCACAGGTCAAAGCCGAGATATCCAAGCTGCTGGAGGAAAAAACACACCGCGATGAGCAGTTCAAGGAGCTGGAAGCCCATGTGCGATATCTTGAAGACGAGATAAGAAGGGTGACCAATGAAAAAATGGAAGAAGAGGAAAGGCTGAAGGGAGAAATCGAGGTTCTGACAGAGGAAAAGGCAGAGAAAGAGAGATGCTTAGAGAGGGTAAGCAAAAGGGTTAGTGAGCTAGAATCAGAGATGAGTCGGCTTGGAAACGAAATGAAAGCAAAAGACAATAGGAATGTAGAGATGGAGAAGGAGGTGGAGAAGCAGAGGAGAGAGCTAGAAGAAGTAGCAGAAGAGAAGAGGGAAGTGATAAGACAATTATGTTTTTCACTGGACTACTGCAAAGATGAGTGCAAGAGACTACGCGACTCCTTTTCAGGGCATCGGAGGCCCTCCTCTGTTCTCGCATCTTGATTCTTATGTATAGCATACATATACTCTTTGTAACTTTGTTTGGCGTTACTCTTTCACATATAGGGAGCTATTTTGGGATTGGTTTGGAAAAAACAAGTTATAAGATTACTGATGTGTTTGACATTAGATATGCAAGATCTAATTTGAGTTCTGGAACTGAAATAAAGCAAGAGGATCTGTCTAAGTGCTTACAAACACTACTGTATATGACTTTTGGTGCATTTCTCAAGTAACATCACATACACATAAATATGAATGAAAAGGTGAAAAAGTCTCATTCACTTATTCTCAACAATCAACATGAGTAATGAGGGTGTGCTCTGTACAGCTAACAACCCGGAAGAAATGCTTACTTGAGATGTTCAAAGCCCTTCAAAAATCAAACTTCACCAGGAAGCATAGTATCTACCGGACCAAGATCACAGAAGGCGATGCCCTGAAACATACATCCAAGAAGCTACAAAGGTTAGCTTCTGTTAAAATGGTTTTGTTTGAACATACAAGACAGACACATACCTCTCCAGTGAGGTGTGCAACACATTTCTTCTCAGCCAACAGTTCCGCTTCCGACTGCAATATTTTCATGTCTCGGTTTAACTTCTGGCATTTATACAGAAAACGCGCAAAATACTAATCTCAAGGAAGGCTATACCTTGGCGATTCGTTTGCGAAGGTAGTCATCAATTTCTACATCCTTAACAAGTTCATAATCACCATCTCCCTGGAAACAAACCCGATTTCGAGAGCTACCACTAGAGAAAATATTTAAGTAATAAGGATATAACATACCTTTGACCGGCATGGCATGCTGAAGACGAGATCCTCTGCAATACCATAAGGATTTCCATTTGTGTACACCTAGAATTACAATAACACAATCCTATCAAGAGTTTGAACCAATCTATCTTGTTGTTATCAAAATGAGTGTAAAAGAAGATTTACCCCAGTCGAAAACCAATCACCCTCAGGAGTAGGAGTTACAAGAGACTTGATAGCATCAACAATGGAAACAGCCGTAGAAGCAGCAGAAGATCGACCCCATTTCTGAATTAATAAGCCACCTCTCTGTATAAAAAAACGCAAAAGAAACTTACTCAGCAAAATTTTAGATCTCATTGCAGAAACCATCACAACATCAGGAACAAAAAAAAAACGCCATGTTACCTTCTGCACACTCTCAGTGAATCCCTCTTCTAACCATTTGTGATCTGTAATAACCTCCTTCACCGGCACGCCATTAATTCTGGCATTTAAGAAGTCTGGCACCTGATTCACCTCTAAAACGTAAGAGAAACATCCCAAGATATAGAGAAACAACAAATGACACTAGAGCAAGTTAAGGCAAACCTGAGTCGTGGAGTGATTTCCCCATATGGTCATATTAGACACTTTGTCGTAGAAGACGCCAGCTTTAAGAGCAAGCTGCAAAATGGAATTGTTTATGTATGTGATGCATATAATCATATTTATGCGTCAAATGTGGTACCTGGCATTTGGCCCGATTCTCGTCCAACCTCGTGAGGGCATGGAAATTCTTTGCAGGAATGTTGGGAGCATTTTTAAGACAAATCAAGGCGCTGAGTAGAAGAGAAAATGAGGAAGAAGAAGTATACTTAAGATGTTGGGCGTTGATTAAGAGAAGAGGAGAGGTATATTACGGAAAGTAGCTTACTTGGTGTTGCAAGGATTTCCCACTACAAGGACCTTGACGTTAGGAGAAGCAACTGCGTTAAGAGCTTTGCCCTGATCAGCAAATATCTGGCCATTGATGTCCAACAAGGCAGCACGTTCCATTCCAGGGCCTCGAGGTTTTGCACCAATCAGAAGAGCCCACTCCACATCTTGGAACACTTCATACGGATCTGTTCCTATATCAACTTCTCTCAGCAACGGGAACAAGGAATCCTCCAGTTCCATTGCAACACCTTCAAGAGCTTGGATTGATCTCTCTGATCCTAGCAGTTTCAAAGCAATGGGCTGGTCTGGTCCAAAGACTTCACCTGAAGCAAGCTACATCCGGAAAACCAAGTTCACATAAGATAAGACCAATGACTGGTAAGTAACCCTATCCTATGGAACAGTAATTAAATTTTTTAAAAGGAATAACTTACTTTGAAGAGAAGGTGATTAGAAATCATGCCTGCAGCTCCTGAAACTGCAATATTGATTAATTTTTTCCATGATTTTGTCTCTTCCTCCTGCAAACCACACACACTTGGCAACTCAAAACCAACGACCAACTTCAAGGATAAGATTTGATTATATCTGAATATTTGATTGCTTCTTTTCTAAACTAGTAGTAGGAGTGATTGGGGACAAAGAAGGGAAAGGGGAAGTAGGGAGAGAGTAAGATACAGCTTTGAGATCATATGTGAGGCAGAACACTCCATAACACTCTTTCTTCGTCTTCACCAACCCATTTTCTTGAGCAGCAACAGGGGCTTGGCTACTTTTATCATACAATTCACAAAACCATCTGATCAGATAAAGTTCAAATTTTTACTGAGATAAGAAAGGATTAGGAAGCGTATAAACGACTTACTTCTGAGAAACTGAGCAAGAGATTTTGGAGTTGGGAGTTGTGGGGAGTGGTGGAAGAAGAAGATGGCGAAAGTGGTTTGAAAGATGCAATTTAGACGAAAGGCGAAGCCTTGACGAAGATTGGAGAAAAGGTGACGTCGTTTTGGGGGTTGAAAGCTCTGCCATGGCCATTATCGCACAGACACAGAATGTGAAAGTGAGAACTCAGAAAATGGAACTATGGAGAGACAGAGAGAGAGCGCGCCAAGCCAGGGAGAAAGAAAGAGGATTGGGGAATCTGTGGATAAGGCTCAGCTCACGACACTTGTCAATCTTTTACCATCCGCACCGAATATATCTTCTTTTGACTTCAAGCCCAACTTAAGGCCCATTACAGAATATCTGAAACCGGTCGTATTTCAAGCGGCTGATCGGTGCTTTCGTCTTCCCCGGCCAAATTGCATCGGCGGGAACAAAACGAAAGGTACAACTTTGATCTCAAAAGCAACAAAAATGGAGGTTATCGACCAATGGGTTGCCGAATTTTTCATCCGTCGCCAACACAATACGAGGGTTTCTCCAATTAACCTGCTTTCGGCGCTGAAGTTTGGAGATTCCTCCGACTGTCTAAAGCTCAAGATATCTTCTGTTTTGCGGGACATCTCCAATTCCTTGAACCGAGGTATGTTAGACGAGGGAACGCTTGACCTACTCGAGATTCTTGAGAAGCTTCTGTTGCAGCAGCGTTCGCTAATCATGGAGTCTCACAAGTCTGCTTATTGCTGGACGGCTGCTGAGTGCACGCTTAGATTCATGTGGCCATTGTCTGCTTCGGATGGCTTATTCACCGATGCCCTTGAGAAGATATGGACGAAGCGGATTGGGATTTTGAAGGAGAGTGGGAGCGATTTGGTGACCCATGACTTGTTAAAATGGGAGACTGATCTGAAGAAGGCCCTTGAGGATCCTGAGCTCTATCAGCGGATTCGAGAAACTAACATTAGGTACACTGCCATCTCCTTCCTCACTCAGCTTCTCAAAGAGCAATGGGCACTACTTGGGAACTCCTCTCTTGAATCAGTAGCCCAAAGGAGGTTTCTTAAGCGTAAGGCTGATAACAACGTAGAGGGCGATTGTGTTGACAACAGAAGCGATCCAAATGCTGTTGATGAAAGCACGAGGCGTTTGGAGAATGACACCATTGATAATGTCAACGAGCGGCGTGGAACCGGTGAAGGGGAGGACGGAAATGGGAACAATAGAGATATTGAAGGAGCGGGATGTCTGGAGAATGATGAGATTGATAAGGTGAATGAACAACATGCAGCAGACGAGGAGCAGACAATGAGTGCACAAGAACAGGAACATGAGCCAAGTCTTGACAAAGGGGATAAAATGGCTGCTCGAGAGCTGAAGGATTATTTGTTAGAGATTCAAAGACACATCGACCCTTCCACTAGGCAAGATCAAGAACCTAACAATGCAATCAATCGTTCGGTAGATGTCACTCCTCAGCCTGCTCGGGTTAATAGGAGTGGAACAGGCGTTCAAGACCATAACGAAGTAAGGGTGAGTGTTAATGAATATTTTCCTTCAAGATGCTTTCTAAAAGTCTTGTTCTTTGTTTAATGACGTTGTGATTTAATTGTGAAGCAACAGGATAATGTAATTGCGAGGGGTTCGGGTATTCAGGAAACATGGTCTGGCAGAATTCGGCCTCGTCTACCAACCCCTGTACCTCTGAATGTATCCCCGTTGAAGAATGTAAATTCCCCTGTCAGAAGGCGAAAAAAATTCTGGACGCCTGAAGAAGAGAAAGCTCTGAGGGAAGGAGTGAAAGAGTATGCAACACTCTTTGCCAAGTCCCGTACTCTATTATCAATACTCAATGCTGATACATCTAGGACCTCATCAAGTTTCAAAAGCCTGAACTTGGCTCACTTTATATTTTAACGGATTGTCATGTTGTTGTTGTGCAGGTATGGTAAATCATGGAAAGATATAAAGAATGCAAACCCTGCAGTATTAGGGGAGAGGACAGAGGTGAGCATCTCCTTTTTAACATTCATACTCACTATTTACGTCAATAAGTTATATGCGAAGTGTGAATGATATAAAGGTTGGAACTTGTAGGTGGATTTGAAGGATAAATGGAGGAACTTAGTTCGGTAGAGGTATCATCATTTGGGAATCTTTTGCAATGAGTCTTGAATTGCTGTGGAGTTGTCTGTGTGACATATCAACTGTGGAGAAGATGGTGGAGAAAGCGTCTTTCACATTTTGTGTGGTGAATGGTAATGATGATTGAGCAGCAGAATATATTGACGTGCTCGTGGGATAATTCTGGCTGCTAATCTTTGTAGTCAGTGTCACGGCTTTTCTTGTTTGGGATATATTCTATCCATCCTTATCTTCATTTTCCTACCATTTTCCTCTCTCCTTTTCCACGTGTCAAGTAACATCTAAATCAGAACAAAACAGTAGTCAAATATGTATAACACAAACCATTTCGATCTATGATTGCCTGTTAATACTCGGGCCATTCTTAGATACAAAGCTAAGTAAAATGTTCAGCATATATATTGGTTAATGCATATTTGTTATGTTATTACAGAACCCTGAACTCCTTGAGGGCTGGAGGATGTCGCCGCCAACGAAGAAAATGTTCAACGGTGACGTCACTGTCACTCTATTCTCTTCTATTCTCGTCATGTTCCCCACTTCTGTTCTGACTATTTCCATTTTTGTTAATTTTAATATTTTGGATGTTTCTTCTGTCCACCAAATTATATAATAATTGGGTCGATTGAATCGTGCAGTCTCCTCAAGCAACAAAACTCTTTCCTCCCCAGCATCAAACTCTTATCCTCTTTGCTATTGTGTTTGTGGTTCCAAAAAATAAGTCAGGGCATATTCTTTTCCCTCGTAGCCTATTTAGCCATGTGTCTTTTTCAATGTGGTACACATTTGATGATTTTTTTAAAGCTTGGTTTGAGTATCTTTTGTTGGCACCTAAGATTTGTCAAAGTTTGGATTTTCAGAACAAATATATATATATATATATATATATATTACAATTGGGTCAATAAAAAGAAACATATTATTTTCTATAATATATGTGATGCAAGCAAGGCTGAGGCTTGTCTTTATTCATTCTATTACCAATGGGTGGTTGAGGCCAAAAACTGTTCATTTAACAAGAGGCCAAAGACTGTTCATTCAACATATTATCTACTGACGCTTCTTTGTTTAAGTAGAAGAAGAAGTAAGACGACTTTTGTTTCACCAGAGATATTTCTCATTCATAAAAACGAAAGCGTCTCGTCTCAAACATTTCTGGGATTATCAGCCGAGTTTTGGGCAACCATGAACAGGGATCAAGTTTTAGAGTATGTCGAAACGGATCCGACTGGTCGCTACGGACGTGTAAGTTGGGAGATTGGCTCTGTGTTCATGCTGTTCATGGATCAAACCTTTTTGGTAACACTTGGTTTTATGTTCAATACAGTTTGCAGAAGTTCTTGGAAGAGGAGCGATGAAGACAGTATACAAAGCAATCGATGAGATGCTGGGAATAGAAGTAGCGTGGAGCCAGGTGAAGCTAAAAGAGGTTCTGCGTTCCTCTGTTGATCTACAGAGGCTCTACTCCGAGGTTCATCTTCTCAGCACTCTCAACCACAAATCTATCATTCGTTTCTACACTTCGTGGATCGATGTTCATTCCCATACTCTCAACTTCATCACCGAACTGTTCACTTCTGGGACCCTCCGACAGTAATTCTCTTTCACCTTTTCTTCTGAAACAATTACTCTGTTTTTGCTTTGTATGACCCTGTACCGTTCTTGTGCAGATACAAAAATAAGTACTTGCGGATAGATATCCGAGCGATCAAGTCCTGGGCTCGGCAGATCTTGGAAGGGCTTGTTTATCTCCATGAGCACGACCCTCCTGTAATCCATAGAGACCTTAAGTGTGATAACATCTTTGTTAATGGCCATCTTGGACAAGTCAAAATTGGCGATCTTGGTCTTGCAAGAATGCTGCGGGACTGCCACTCTGCCCATAGTGTCATTGGTATATGTTGCCAAAATAGTTTGTTCTCACTTCTCCAGATCATTTGCTTAGACCTCTTTATGCTTCTTTTGTAGGCACTCCCGAGTTCATGGCTCCAGAATTATATGAGGAGAACTATAATGAACTCATTGACGTTTATTCCTTTGGTATGTGCTTTTTGGAGATGATTACCTCTGAGTTCCCGTATAGTGAGTGCACCAATTCGGCGCAGATCTACAAGAAAGTTGTTGCGGTATGTCTTTCGATCTCTGAGCATTTGGATGGAGCTATCAGATGAACCAGGCATGAGCCTTGTAATTTTTTTCTTTCCAGGGAAAGCTACCAGGTGCGTTTTACAGAGTTGGGGACTTGGAGGCACAGAGGTTTATCGGGAAATGCCTTGTGTCTGCCTCATTGAGAGTGTCAGCAAAAGAACTATTGCAAGATCCATTTCTCGCGTCTGATGAGTCCTGGATGGTGTATGCGAGCGGTGCTAGGAATTTAAAGCCCTTCTTGAACGAGAATGAAATGGACAGGCTGAAGTTGGAAGAGGATGAGTTAGGAAGGACCCAGATGACCATCACCGGGAAGCTGAACGATGAAGATAACACAATCTTTCTGAAAGTAGTAATCGCAGATGAAAAGGGTAATAAAGGACTTTGTTGGTTAAGCTGATCATATTGTTATTCGGTCACATAATTGTTTCTTCTGTATTTATTTTTCTCCAGGTATGGCAAAAAACGTGTCTTTTCCCTTTGACATCACGATTGATACTTCCATTGATGTTGCAACGGAGATGGTAAAAGAACTCGAGATTACAGAATGGGAGCCAGTCGAGATTGCTAAAATGATTGATGGAGAGATCTCTTCTTTGGTGCCTGGTTGGAGGTACGAGGAAGATGATGAAACCCCTCATGATTATCATCATCGTACCACTCCTTCATACTCTTCTTCCTCGCATTCATCATCCTCTCAAGCCTCACTCTCTAACTATATGGCACGAGGCCGTCAAGATTGGATACAAGGTATGGAAAGTAACACCAGATTAGACGTGTGTGGTGTGATTCAGATGTTTATACAGAAGCTTTTTAAGAGAAAATTAAAACTGCAGATGATTTTCACGATGAGACGTATTCTCAGAGTTCTTCCAATTCAGGGTCTTACTCCAACCTCAACTACATATCTGTTGATGAGCACAGCTCCCAACCTCCTGTTATGACCAGAACTCACAACGTGACGAGGTTTTGCCCGGGAGAAAGCTCTCATCTACAGTCAGGACAAGCCAACATGTATGCAGCTTCTAGTTCGGGTAACAGGAGATTGGCCTCAGAAAACCGCACACTCACGAGGAACAGATCACTTGTAGACGTGCAGAGCCAGCTACAGCAGCAGCGGTCGTTGGTGGAAGAGGCTAGAAAAAGAAGGTTGATCAGAACTGTTGGAGACGTCGAAACAGTTGGTTTTCAGTCACCTTATGCGATTTCCCGGAAGCCACGAAGCTCAAGGCGCTAGCTTCTCCCGTATATTGGAAATACGGTGAAAATTATTCTTGTAGTTATCATCTGTAGTGTAATGTGAAAAAACAAAATTGCTGGTTCAAAAATGTAAAAATGTAAACTCATGTGTTTAAAAAAGCTGTACAGAGGCTGCGTTTGGGTTAGTCAAACCACATGTCAACGGTTTATTCCGTGGATGGGCTAAAGAACTCGGAGGTTATATATAAGAAGTTCCACTTAATCATATTGGGCTTAAATGTGCCGTTTTTTCTTCTAATTCAGCTATAAAAACCTTAATTCCAAATTAGCTTTAAGCTTGGAACTTGGAAGTAGTTAGAAGGGGAAAATAGGGTATCCCGATCATTCTTCTCTCAAACTCTAAAATCTTGCATTGTAGAGATCTATGGCGACAATTCTGAGACGCAACGACGAGGTAGAGACTCAGCCAAGAAATGAATCTGAAAGATCGTTTGAAGCTGTCGTAGAATCCAACAAAGAAGCAGAGAAATCATCCTCACGTGACAATGAAATTATGTCCAAGGTAATAATGATTCAAACTCTTGTTTGTGTTACACATTTCTTCATATCGTTGTAAATTATCCTCTGATTTATTCCATCGTTCATTCGTACATATATATATTAGAGACTGATCTATAACAACATGATTTTAATGTAAAAATTGTGTTATCAGCAAAGTCACAATCTGACAAGGGAACAGAAGAAAGTGAGAGATAGCTACTTATTCTGCTGTGAAAATTTCTACAGTCTTCCGGAGATGATCAATTACATGAATGAGAATCACGGTTTACCAGAGACAACTGTAACGAATGTTTTCAGGGAACTCTTAAAAGGAAAAAATGCGGAAGCATATCTGAGGGTATCACAGAAAAGATCTCTACAGAGGAGGACTAGTGGAACTGGCGTTGGTTCTTCCACTAAGTAATGCTTTTCAAGAATCAAACCAGAATACCCACTAGAAGATCTACATGTTCAGTAATCGATTTCATTTTGGTTTAATAGTTGCTTGCTTCAGTTGTTATAAGAGCAGCACAACTGGTCATCCTTGTAATGAGGAACTAACTCTTAAATGTTCCCATTTCCCTCGTTTGTAGGAGTCAATGGCTCTATTTTGTTTTTTTTTTGTTTTTCTGCCACTATATAAATGAATGCATAGATAAGCAAATCTAAGTACAAATCAACAAATACAAATACAAGAGTTTTGTAGATCGTTTTGAGGCAGTCGTATAATGGGAAAAAATTGATTGGATCTTATTCTGTTTCACAATTCTAACAACTGCTTAGGTATTGTGTTGGCTTCAGGAGATGTTGTAAGCCATACATTTCCAGTCTAAAAAGGTTACGCACTACACACGCGATCCTGCGTCTAGACCGACTAGCTCATTAAACTGTTAGAGACGTTGAAGTTCAGTCACCTTATGCAGCTTCAAGGAAGTCACGGCACTCAAGGCGCTAGCTTCTTCCCTTATTTTATAATACTGTAAACTTATTCATAGACTATCTAAGTACAGTGTGAAAAGCAAACTTGCTGGTTCAAAAATGTGAAAGTGTTTTAATAAAGCTGTGCAGAGGCTGCGTTTGGGTTACACAGAGAAACAATCGTCTCAAACTGTCAAGCGAGGTGAGTCAAATGAAACCATGTTTTCTCGAAAGCCCTGATGATAATGTCATGATACTCACACGAGTTCAACGAAAGATAACATGCGAGAAGACCTTCGAGGTCTTTCTGTTCCTTCATCTTATTCTCCACGATCATCTCAACCATGGATTCTCTGAAATCTCTCTCCGGATCCACCGAAGTCAAAACTATTGCGAAACTCTCTGCAGCTCCCATGTCTTTTATCGTTCTTCCCTTTGTCTTCTTTCTGACAATCTTCGGAGAATTCGTCCGAATCCTTATCCCTGAAGAACCAGCTTTCGGTTTCTTCAGTTTCTGCTCTGTCCTTGTCTCAAAAGGTGGTTCTTTTACCGTCTCAACCATAACAGGGTTTAAGTTTTCTGACTTTGAAGGATCTTCAGAGACATCATCGAGCTTCCTCACAGAGTACTGGTCGTCCTTGATGTCAACTGAATCCGATTCAGAATCACGAGAAAAGCCATGGTTTTTATCAGAAGGAGATGATAACACAGGATCTGACGAGCTTCCAACGGTGGAATCAGAGACTGCATTTTCAGAGGAGGATGATGATTTAGAGCGATGATTCCGAGAAGAAGTGAGAGAAGCATGAGAGTTGAGAGAGGAGGAAGAGAGCTTGAGCCTAGAGGAAGGCTTGTAAACGGTTTTACGTTTGGTTCTTCTCTTGAAAGAAGGTTTTGGGGATGAAGAAGAAGCTTGAGGAGATGAAGAGAGGCCAAGAGCGTCACGGAGCTTTCTTGTGGAAGAAGGATCGGAGGATGAGAGGTGTTTGGGAGAAGAAGGAATGTGTTTTCTGTTACTTCTGCTCATGCCTTTGAGCTTATAGAGCCATGAGTGAGGCACAATGTCTGAGAATCTGAACTTGTGAGTCCCCATTTTCTGATTCATCTCTTTCATTCCTCAAGGTATTATGAACTCTGTCAAAAACAAAAAAAACAGATAGAAGTAAAAGAGAAACTAAAGGGGATTCAATTTTGGGGTCCAATATCTCTCTATTGGTTTATTCTGTTTTGTCTCTTTCAGAACAGATAACAAAAAGAACAAGAAAAAAAAAAAGAGTGGTTAATCAAAGTAGGTTTAATTTAATTTCGCTCCTTGAAGCATTGAAAAGCAAAGAGGTGGCTTCCATGTCAAGACTAATTCCAAAAACAACAAAGCACTTTCTTTTGAAATAGCAATCATTATCTGTCTGCCCCCCAAATGTCACCTCTCTCCTTCATTCACAATCCATAATCTGTAAAGAAGCAAACAAAAAGAGTTTTCCGAGATATCTAAAAAGTTAACTTAACACTGGTCATGGATCCCACAATTATATGACGTGAACTCCACACTCTCTTATCTAATCAATACTCTAATTAGTATGATGAATTTATCAACAATTCATTCTCCTTCAAGGCTTCAACAATCCATCATAGGCCCAATAATGCTCAATATCACCGCAAACCCAGTAAATAAGGTCAAGCAAAGGCCCAATAAGAGACATTTTGACTCCAAAACCCTCAGATACACAGAGAGAGCATCAAAACAGCTAAACCCTCTAATCCCATTTCTTCCAATTCCAATTATCCAAGCTCCTCTCTGATCGCGGTCGTCGCACAATCCGCAAAGGTTTCACCTTTTCGCCTTGTTTCAACCCATTTATTTCCGTATTCATATTTCTTATAGTTAAGATGATTCTGTTAACCGGTGATGGTTCTGGGTTTTATCCATTTCAGTCTCAGGTAGTCTCTCTCTTGCTCAAGTGCTACACTGATTAATGGCATTAGTGTTTTGTCCCAATTTACAGGTGACTTGGAATCAAGTGTTTCTCTACTTCAGCACTATTATCATAGAATGTCTGTAGATACTGCTTTAGGTCATAAGCTCAAGAAAAGACTGAAACTTTCATCTCTCAACTCTAATTCTTCTTCTAAAAGAAGCAGTAAATCCAGTACTCGCCGAAGTGATGGTGACACAAACCCTCGGAATAGTAGTAAAACTAAGGTTTCGTCTATGAAGAAGAAGAGGGTCTACGCCACTAAGACTGAGCTCAATGAGGATAACCATGTGAACGAAATTCCACGCACAATTTGGGCTGCATCAAAGAGAAACCAACGGTCTACTTCTAGTTTTAAGACCACGAAGGATGCTGCAAAAGCTGCAACAGGTGTGTTTAAAACAAAGTCACCGAGGGGAGATGATGAAAAGCCTATTCGAAAGCAGAGCTACCGGAAGAGAGATGAATTGGATAAAAATGGAGATGTGAGCCGAAGGAAAAGCTTGGATGTGCCGTTATATAAGGCTAAAAGGCAGGGATTTGCAGAGAAGAGAGTCTCGGGCGATGGTTCAGATATTCAGGAGGATCAACCAAGGAAGAGAAAGAGGATACGACTAGATCCCTACGATACCTCGAATAAAAGAATAGATGATGATGTCGTTCTTGATGGTTAGTTCTTTCGTTAGAAAGGAGTATGAGATAGCTTCATTTGCTACATCTCGTTCTTGCTATCCTAACATACTGTTTTTTCCCCCATTTGTTCAGAAGGTCGTAAAGAAAAGAAGAAGAACGATGATGAAAAAAGTGTAGGAATGTCGCAAAATGCACAGTTTCGTGCAATTCAGCCTAGTCAGTCAATCCTTTCCTATGTAGAAGAAAATGTAATTTATATGGCCAGATCTTTGTGGTATCTTACGCTGTATTCATATTTCCATTACCTGGCTCGTAACATACATTTTATGGCAGCTGTTGGGGCGTAGACGCTTGAATGAGCTAAAGAAGGCTGGCTACAACACAGAGCTTCCTGCTCCGTTAGATAATATTCCTCAGTCTACCAGCACAGAGAGAGAGCGTATAGAAGAAAGTGTATGGTCTTATTCCTCATGCTTGTTCTCTAATACCTAAATATAATAGCCTGCCTTTCTAGTCGAGTAAGCTAATTGTGTAATTGCATTTTTGCAGGTATTTAGAAATAAAATGGAATTCTTTGCTGCTGCAAATGTTTCATCGTCATTTCCTCCTCCTCCTGATATACCTGAGATTGCATTTGCAGGTACTGCGTTAAATTGTTATTCCCACCAGGATCACAGAAATATCAACAAAAAAATAACCTTTTTCTGGGAATGCATGTGAAATTACTTTAGTAACACAGAACTTTATTAAAAAGCGGGGATATTTGGTGTCCCAACTTATCAGGAAGGTCGAATGTTGGCAAATCGTCTCTGCTAAATGCCCTTACCAGACAGTGGGGTGTTGTAAGAACATCTGACAAACCAGGACTGACACAGGTATTCCTCTTACTGAGAATCGCTCGCTTGTACGGTTTACATTTTCCTGTAATAACAATGGTTTATTCACTGCAGACCATCAATTTTTTCAATCTTGGTCCGAAGGTTCGCCTTGTTGATTTGCCCGGTTACGGCTTTGCCTTTGCAAAAGATGAAGTTAAGGAAGCCTGGGAAGATCTTGTGAGCATCTGACTCTGACTAGAATTTATAATGTTGATTTTGCATGCTCAGTTTTATGTGTTACTAAGCAGGTCAATGATCCCCTTCTGTTTTAACATCGATCAATGCAGGTAAAGGAATATGTTTCAACAAGAAGTAGTCTTAAACGGGTATGCCTTCTTGTTGACACCAAATGGGGTATGAAGCCTAGAGACCAGGAACTTATTAATCTGATGGAGAGGTAAAATGAATGATGCTGCTCTTAATCTCTGATTGTGTCATGTAGTCAAGTGTCCTTACAGCCGAAACTGAATTGCAGATCGAATACAAAGTATCAGATAGTCTTAACCAAGACAGATGTGGTTTTCCCAATGGACGTGGCACGTCGAGCAATGCAAATCGAAGAGGTCTAGTCACTATGCTCTAAAAGAATACAATGAAGGATAAAAAGACTTATGTTCATCCTCTACTTACACCAACATTTATTTTTGAATTGCAGAAGTTGAAGGCAAACAGGTCAATTGTCCAGCCTCTGGTACGTTTGAATATGATTTAGCAAGTTTGTTTTACTCCTTTATGGCTGCAGAAGAAGGAAGTGGTTAATGTTTAATGATTACAGATGATGGTGAGCTCAAAATCAGGAGCTGGCATAGGAAGCTTAAGAACTGCTCTTGCTAAGATTGCAAAGTTTGCAAAGTTCTAGGTTCTCGAAACAAGAAAACAATACCCAAAGCCAGGTCAGGATTGTCTCGTGCCCCTTTCAATAGTAATAATGATCAAGATGGATCAGATATTTACAGGGAATTACTTGCCTTTGTTCAGTAAAGGCAAAGAAGAATACTTTTCATGGCATAAATTAGGGGAAAAAATGATATGTATATGTGTTGTGGAAGAGAAGTGAGGAAGCCAAAATGTTGAGATAAGGAAGAATGGTGTGAATGGTGTGATGAAGACCCAACTAAGTTAGTGAAAAGTGTCAACAATCACTATGGTTTTTTATTTGTTTACATCTATTTGTATGTCAAAAGCATCACTGAGAGAGCAATGAGCATAATATGTTATGGTCTTTCACGTTCTGACAGAGTAGGTTGCCTAAACCACTTACTTTTTTTTCTTTATTCATAGTTTAATTGAGTCAACCAAAAATAATATTAGGAATTTTAGGATGATTATTTTTCTTCCGGAGAATAATGTCTCCAACGAAAGAAAACCAAAAATTTAACTTCAATATAAAAATAAGTTTAATAATGATGTCTATGGTCATTAGGTGTAGATTGAAAATGAAATTCGAGATAACTTTAGGGAGTGGCCTACCTAATTTGACACTTCTTCAACCGCACCCTTTGAATTTTTCTCATCTTTCCTCTTTCTCTCTCTTTTTTTTGGCCTTTTTTTTCCCTCGTCACCTCTCTCTCTTAGTCTCTTCTTCATCAACTCCTCTTTGTCTCTCTCTCTCTCTCCTCATTGCATTCATCAACTGGAGAAAGCAAAATCAAGAGAGGAAGAAGGAAGGAGATGTGTCCGTTAAGGCTGATCCTTATATTCTTGTCGGCGACTCTTGCTGGGTTCTTTGTTCTCAAGAAGCTCAACTCTCCCTCCGACGACCCTCTCGCCGACCCTCTCACCGACGCTGATCCCTCCGACTCCGACTCCGATTCCAAATTCTCTAAGGTTTCTTCTTCTTCTTTTTCCTCCGATCTTCATTCTCGCCATTTGGGATTAAGGGGTTTTCTTTTCTCATTTTCTGGGCTCAGGTGGGAATGGCAATGAAGTCTGGATTTTGGACATGCGTTGACATGGCAAGTGGCCGCTATCTCTGGAACCATCTCTGTTCCAATTCGGACCGCTCTTCTTAAGTTTTTCTTACTTTCGCTCTCTCTTCATTGCCCGTAACTGTCTAATTGTTCTAATGGACAACAACAAATCGCATATTGTCTCTGTACTATATAATAGATCTCGTCTTCACTACCAAATCTCAATAAAAGTCGAGTCTTTTCCCCTGTTCCTAGCTCTCTGTATAGCTGAATTCCTTGGTGAATCGAGCAGAGGATGCCAAAGTTTTTGTTCTCAATTGTTGGACACTCTTTCCTGTTATGATATAAGTGCAAGCAATTAAATTTCTCTTACTCTCAAGTCTTGGCTTTGAGTTCTGAAAAACAACTTTAAATTATGCAGGATTTTTCCTTTCTTTTAACAAACGAAACATGTAAAATGTAAGGAACTCCATATACGTTTAATATCGGTGTTAAAGAAAATTCAAAATTTGAACAATAAACAAAATCCAAAACTACAAAGGTTCTTCCTGTTGTTCTGTCTCTTGCTGTGGAGCAGGCAGTAGCTGCTGCTCCTCTATGTCAGTCTGCCAAACCCAAACAATATCTGCCAGGGCAGGCCTAAGATCCTCTGCCACTAATTTCTGATACTCCAGAGTATCTCCATTGGATTTCTTCACTTCCACCATATGAAACGTTGGCGTCACTTGGAATATCTCTGCATCCATCGACAGGATTCCTTTTCTTCCCTCCTTTAAACTTTCCAGTTTGAACAAACCTGCTTCCCGCTTTCTTATGCTCAGTTTTAACCGTTGCGCTACCTCCTCCAGCTTAGATATGATCACTGAAGCAGGTTTTTGAGATGTGAATCTAGATTCTCGCTTGTCATACAAATCTCCAAACAGCCCTGCCAGATCAAACCCAGCAGACAAGGCAATTATGTCAAAAGCGTTCAAATTTGTAGGCTGGTCTGTGTGGTTTTCCTCCGTGACCCTGTCTCCGTTCTCACTGGGACCAGCAGCACCAGCTTCCACGGAGTTCGTCTCATTGACTCGTTTCTCCATCTTTTTCTGTTTCATGTGTAAACCTTTTCTGAACCAAGAACTCTCCCTGATTTTTGCGATAGCGATTCTAGTTTCAGGGTTAGGGTCCAGCATCTTACACAACAGCCTCCGTACTTCTGGCGGGAACCAACTTGGGGCCTTAAACTCAGCTCTTCCTATCTTCCTGTACATCTCCATCAGATTAGAATCATGAAAAGGGAGATAGCCAGCCAACAGAACAAACAAAACCACCCCACAAGACCAAATATCTGCTTTTGTGCCATCATATCCTTTTCGATTGATCACTTCAGGAGCAACATATGCAGGAGTACCACAAGTAGTGTGAAGGAGACCATCTTGGCGCTTGCAGTCAGCAAGAGCACTCAACCCGAAATCAGATACCTTGAGATTCTCATTGTCATCCAGCAGCAGATTCTCTGGCTTTATGTCGCGATGATACACTTGCCGGCTGTGGCAAAAATCAACCGCGTTGATAAGCTGATAAAAGTACTTCCAAGCAATATCATCTCTCAACTTCCCTTTGGCAACCTTGTTGAAGAGCTCTCCACCTTTACAGTACTCCATCACAAAGTAGATCCTTGTTTTTGTTGCCATGACCTCGTATAGCTCCACCACGTGAGGGTGTTTAGCAATCCTCATAACAGATATCTCTCGCTTGATCTGCTCCATAAGCCCAACTTTCAAAACCTTTTCCTTGTCGATCATCTTGATAGCAACACTCTGGTTAGTATGAACACTCCTTCCATAATACACCTTGGCAAAAGTACCTTGACCCAATAACCTCCCAACCTCATATTTATCGGTCAAAACACTTGGCTTATTTTCCATCTAATCTACAAAGTCAAGCAGGCAGCAAAAAGAAACACTAGTTGGTCCAGCTAGCTCAGAGTTTGTGCTAGCTCATGAGTCATGACCTCATGAGCTCGTGAAACGAATGGCCTAGTGATAATAAGACACATCTTTCAGCATTTCTGAGCTTCTTTGTAGGAAAGAGAGTTCCGAGTGGATTGGCAGAGCGGTATGATCACACACCTCAGAAACTTGGCGGAATCAGAGCCTGTGAAAAAATAAAAATGAATGAAACAAAGCAATGAGATCTCACTTCTGCCACAATCAGTGAACATTGCTCACAGAAATGAGAAATTTTGTATCTTTTCCAGAGGGTTAAAAGGAAAAAGCTGATTTTTTTTCAAAGAAGAACGAGGATGCTAGAAAGAAAAAGGATTATCGATCACGAGTCGAAAACACAATCCACAAAAACTCCCAACACTAAAGCCCTAAACCAGAGCCGATCATTCTGGTTTACCTTCCTCCCCACCCAATAACCGCATTTCCTCTATATGAAGAACAAAATCATAGATCGGCAATCAGAAAAACCTAAAATCCAACATGTAATCGAAAATTAATTCGCGCGGAGAAAACAATAAACAGAAGAATTCCCCAGTAAAAATATGATAACAAAAATAAAACAATCACCGATGATGAAGGGGATTCTAGGAATGAAACCGAGATCTCGAATAAGACAAGCAGATCTCTCTTTCCGCCCTTGAGTCCTTACCAGCGGCTCCTTCTCTTCCTTCCTTATTTCTCTCTGCCTTTGACTAAGACAGAGAAAAAACCAAAAAAAAAAAAGAAAAAAAGGAAGAAGAAGAAGAAGAAGGGATGAAAAATGAAGTTAAACGTCATTGGCGGTCCACGCACATAAAAATCTAATGGTTAATTACGAAGAGAGAAGGCCACTTGTTCCTCTGTGCCATTCTCCACCTTATGAATTGTCACGACCTTTACACTTGTCCTCTCATTCGCCAATTTGTTTTTCATCTAACGGCTCTCGTTTTGCCACCATATTTTAATTAAATATTTTTTTTTAACGTCATTTTAATTAAATATCTATCTGATGTAACCAAAATTACGAATTCTTTTTTTTTTAATTATACGACGAATTCTTTATAGGGGAGTATACTTGATTGGGAGAATGATTGCGTTTTAGAACGAATCATCTGCACAGTGGCAATGAGAAGAGACGAAAACGTAAAATGAAAACTACATAGCTACAAAGTTTTATTCTGCTCACTATTACCTTGTGTATTTAATAAACAGTTGACGAAGAACACAGAACAAAAAAAAAACATAAAATACAGTTGACGAACGATAGGTGGTTGTATGACTGAGCCCAATGGGCTTCATATACCAAGAGATTCAATTGGGCCTGCGACAGTTGTTGCGGATCTGACCATTGGATCCGGTGAGGGGGCTGATATCACCCATCTTAATCATAGCTCTTACAAAGTCGCGGTAAAAAGCTTTGAGACTGTAGCCGTAGGCTACAACGAGCGAGTCAGTGGAGCCGCCATTGAAAAGGACTTGATCTGAAGTGAGCAGACCCCTGTGTTTGAGAAGCTGCTTGTAGTAGCTGAGGTCGAACCTTCCAGGTGAACGAGGGTCAAGAGCAGCTTCGTTGTTGTCTCCCGAGCCAGAGGCAGCGGGACAGCTCATCTGTCTGGACAAGGCGAAAGAAAGGTCTATGTTACTTGCGTTGTGGATACGGTTCCTGAAGGTGACACACCTGGCTTGTCCAATGGTGTGCGCACCAGAGAGAGCGACCATGTCGCGTGTGGACAAGCCTTTTGCTTTAAAACGGTTGATGAGATTGTTGAGAGTAGAGGTCGGAGGTGGGATGACGCCTGAGTTGGCGTCCGAAAAGCTGGCCTTCGTGGAGTCTCGTCTCCCAAGTTTCACGCCCCACTTGGGCCCACCCAGCTGCTTAGTTCAAAAGGTGTAATTTATTAGTAAGATAATTATATGTATGGAGATACTTTCGCGTACACTGTCTATATACACAAGTTATCTAGAGAGCATGTATGTAGAATAAGGTCAAGTTCGTGGTTACAAGCTACTGTTTATGGTCACCTTCCCAAATTAGATTATGTTTGTTTTGCTTATGTCTTATTTCCTATTTCAAAGTTTATAAATAGAGTCGTCGTCAAAAATAGTTTAAATACATTTGAAACAAAAAGTCAATAAGATTGTTTGGAAATAAATGTTGGTAAATAAAGAAGATAATTTTTTTTTTTTTAAATGTTGGTATAACTAAGCAGAGGATGAACACACTTAAAATTCTTGCTTTGGACGTCATTTATTATTTTTGAACCGGTCCGATATTATAATGTATAGTTTGTCGTCTCAAATTACCCTAAAATATGGAAAATATGTGAAATAAGTAAATTTGAGGTTGCGAACTCGTTAGAATGTTCTATTTATTTGGGAATGCGCTAAAGAAAAACGATGTTATTCGAAATTAGAAGTAAAGGTAGAGAGGTGCTAACGAGGAGGACAGAGTCACGAGCAGTGATGGCGAGAATGTCTGCGCATGAGACGACGCCAGGACAGAGTCTCTCAACCTTGGACTTGATTCTGTCGATCACTTCGAATCCCCTCACAGAGTTATTGTTTGGTCCTGCGGTTTTCTCTCCCACAAATGAGGAAGTGTCGTCCAGCAATATGGATCCGTCACACCCCTGTAATATAAACCATTTCCGACCAATTAATTACTTCTTTTTTTTGAAATTTCCTGGAGTAATTCATGGGAACATATACCATGCATGTTTCATTCAAAAAAGAAAATAGAAAAAGAAAAAAAGAAGAGTTACGTTTACGAAACAGTCGTGGAAAAACAAACGGAGGAGAGAAGCAGCCATGCGACGCTCTTTGGCAACCGCATGCTGCACGACCCGTCTCACCGCTGGGAACAGTGAGGGACAGCTTTCCGAGTAGAAGTCTCTGCTCAGCTTGGCCTCGCTGTAACCACAGCTCCACATTGTCATCATCATCAACACCACCATTAATAGCATACTTCCCTGCTTATTATTGTATTCCATGATATGATTCTCTCTTTTGCTTTCTATCTTTATTTGTTGTTTTGGAGCTGTGGTTTAGAAAGTATTCCACAGGCTGAGGGCTTTTTTTATAGAGGGTTACTTACTCACACACGTAGGGTGTTCTTTTTTTTTTTTTTTTTTGTTACGGATAAAAAAGTTTTCTTCTCAAATATCCAGTCTTTTTCATTTTCTAACAAACACAAACACATCAATAATAGTACTGGGTCATGATCCTTACGCGGCCACCTTAATTTACCAAATTCATGCTTTCATTTCCCTTTTTTCCTGCATACATTTTTCTTTTTCTTTTTTTTTACCAATCATATATGTCTATAAAAATTAGAGGAATCTCTATAATTATCATTATGCATGTATCACGTTTTAATTTACGCATGCTTTATTACCCTTATAATTAATATAATATCCCCAACCACCATACAAAATTTGCGATATATGTAATATATACACCAATGTACATCTTTTCTATGAATTCCAGGTCGAAAATAAATTAGCTCCTAAGATAATATAGAGGCTATGGATTAATCCACATGTTAAACCTGCGTTGAAAATCATAAATATTCACAAGATACTGTGGACTTCATCCAATCCGAAAACAATTTGATCCAAAATTTTATGTCTTATATACATTATATTACGGTCTATTTTGTCTCCGAATCAAAATTCTGAACATATTTTTTTCAATGATAGTTGGGTCATATATTGAATTCAGGTTAGACTGATTGTAAGTGAAATCCATATTGTTTCGCATTAACTTGCCGTGTGTTGGGTTTTCAATGTCATGATAAGTTAATGAGAATAAAACATAAAATGAGTTGTAAATTATGTATTAGACTCATAAAAATGAAGTTACAAACTATATGTACCTCAAATATAAGTGAAAATTCAATTATTTGTCAACATAAATTAAAGGATCTGATCGAGAGAATGTGAGGGCACATAGGTCATATGATTGGGAGAAGATGAGTTAGGCAGAAACAGCTGACCTTCCATGCATGCAACCACGACATTCTCAGCCCTTCACGTTTCGTTTTCTATCATATATACGTATAAATTAATAGGTAAACACAAAAGTCTAGAGGATTAGTTTATTCAAATATAAATCTTGTTCACAAGTATTACTTTACTCCAGCAAGTATATTGTTATATACTTACCAAACCTAGAAAATAATAGATGCCTAACACCACGCCTAGATTAACCGTTAGAATAATAGACAGTTATCTTAACTTCACCTAAACAATATTTTTTGCTCTGACTTTAATTTATATAATATATAAAATTTATCGTTTGAGACTTTGAGGCTGCCACACCCAACAAATGAGAGAAAATAAATATTGACTATGGTGCAAGTGCAACTATATATATATGACACATTGTTTAAAAAGTTAATTAAACAGATGAGAAACTAGAAAGCTAAAAACCGAATAATATCATGTAGTTGATATTACTGTGACAAAATCAATGATCTACGTATGCAACTCATCAAATCCAAGGTAAAAACCTCAAAAGTTTGACCAAGTCACGAGGGAGAAATAAGCTATTTGGCGCTTGCTGAAAAGTATGAAGTTGTATTTTCAAAGATTGGGGAGATAAACAGTTTTCTTACAAGAAAACAAAAAAAAAAAAGAAGAAGAAAGTGATAGTGAGAGGTTAACAAACAAACTATTATTAGGTGGAGTGGTCTATCAGACCATCACTTACTGTACCCGTCTACGTTTTCATCCTCTCCCAATTACCTAGCTAGTTCAAGCATATAAGAAGACAAAAAAACATATTTATTATTTCACGTGGATTTTTGAAAAATTGGAACCACGAATATTGTATATTTCGTAAAGGATTTTCGTTTGGGTATAAGTGAGGTCCGCGTTTTAGGATTAACTTTGGTTGAGTGTTTGTTTCTTCTTATATTTGGTAGATCGAGTTTGTAAACCTTTTAATATCTTTCTAAATTTATAAGTTTGTCATAGAAATTGATTAATTAAATCTCTTAAATGATTGAAGGGATTATAATACTGTTTGCAATGTATTGACTCCATATATGGAATACTATGGTTTTCGAAAACAATAGGTAGTTTGGGAGAGAAACATTCATGAAATCTCGGTGTAAGTAATTAGAATTTCAATGAATAGCCTACACTCTTTAATCTTGTTCATTTCCTTAGTTACTTGCATTTTTGTCGTCCGGCTGCTTTTGATGTGTCTTGATTCTAAATCAAGCGACATGTTTAAATCTCAAAAAAAACATCTGGATGATGGTAAACTCTTACAAACATGACGAGGAAAGTAGTACTTTTCGTTTGGGAATCCCATTAATTAGATTCGAAAATCTCCTCTGACCAAAAAAAGAAAAAAAAAGAAAAAAGAATTGAACTATTGAAGTTCTACTAAACGTACGTACCACACGAATAATTAATGGATCTTATCGGTATAATAGAATGATTAAGTAGAGGAGAGTGAGGAGAAGCTGGAACTTGGGAGTATCTAAATGAAACACGACACGCTAAGAGACAACACATTATCAAGTTCCAACTAATCAACACAACTCTATAAGCCTACCTCTTATCTCTTCAGTCACCCTAAACTCTAAAGTCATATACAAACAATTTCCAATTTTCCATCATATAGCAAAATCATTATTCATTATCAATACTATATATATATATGTATATATACAAGTACTTATATTTTTTAAAATTATTATATATATCACCAACATGAGTACATAACAATAAGGCTAGCTAGGCGGCCTACACATTATGATATTACTATTAACATTTATGCATTACTATTAACAAGTACGTACATGGCTGCTTATATGTGACTGTACACGCGTAATAGAAAAATTCCAAGAATAAAAATCATTATGTATTAATGAAAAAATCATTATGTATTAATGAAAAAAATCATTATGTATTAATGAAAAAAATCATTATGTATTACTATTAACAAGTACATGGCTGCTTATATGTGACTGTCACTACAAGAAAACAGCAGGTATTCCTACGAAAGATATCATCCGAAAATGGTAGGAAACAAGCATTTCTTACCAATTTCCGACGAAAAATTTTGGTAAGTTCTATGCCGTTGGAAATTATAAATGGTCAGAAAATGGTAGGAAATTTCCTACGAAATTTTTGGTCAGAAAATTTTATCGGAAAATTTGGTCAGAATATCGTAGGGCATTTGCTACTATTTTCCTTCCATTTTCTTTCGAAAAAATCCAACCATTTTCCTACGAACAGTTTTCTATCATATTCCTACCATTTTCTTACTAGCTATATAAAAATTTTTTAATTCAATTAATTACAAAATTAAATAATTTCAATTATTAAACAAATTATAAAAATTAAATACAAAATTAATCAACCTAATTAAAAACTAATTAGAAATTAATTATAACTAAATATGGAACTTCTAAAGCCCAAATTATTTTTATTGACTCAGTATTTTTTATATTTAAAGCATGTGCCTATTTATAGAGTCTGTTCAGCATCACCTTTACTCTGCTTGGTCGATGTGGGATTTTTCCCATTTTCCTTTTTGACTGATTTTGGTAGGAAATTGATAGGATATTTAAATAATAAAATATTTGTTTTTCGTAGGAAATTGATAGGTAATTTCTTACATATTTTATTCGTAGAAAAGTGATCAAAAATTTCTGACAAATTTTCTATCATTATTACAGTAAATTTTTTCCACCGATTTCCTTCCATTTTCTGATCAGATTTCCTACGGATATTTTTTTGGTTGAATATTGGTAGGAAAATTTTGACCATTTTCTGACGATTTTTATCGTAGAAAATTTTCTTCCAATTTCCTACCACTTTTATTTTTTGTCATACATTCGTAGAAAAATGATAAAAAAAATTTCCTACCAAAATTTTCGTAGAAAAATTCATAGGAATTCAGTTTTCTTGTAGTGTGTACACGCGTAAGAGAAAAATCTGAAGAATAAAAGGGGTGCCAGCCAATAATCCAAAAGACCGAACAAAAAATGATGGCTCCAACTTGTAAAAAGTAAACAATATTAATATACTTGCGTCTTTAATTTCACACTTTTTGAGTACATATTAGATTTAGATGTTGTTAATGCCTTTGGATCAATATCCACACCAAACCGTACACATAACTACTGATACAATGCTTACTGAATTACATGCAACGAGACGAAAAATAGTGACATATATTTTGTCATGATTTCAATTTGAACGGGAAACAGAAATAGTGACTTTGGGAAACAAAAAGGGTCGGATCAGTAATAAACTAGAAAATATAGTGGGACTTTGGGAATTTGTACAAAAGCAAACTCACTTGGGCCGTCAAGAATTGGGCCTGACTCATCGAACCCAAATACCAACGGGCACACACTCGACTCGACAAACTCTCTTTGCCTTCTCCTGCGACGGCGGCGACCATACCGCCACCGCCTCAACCTCCGATCCTTGACTTCCACCTTATTGCGCCTTCGCTAGACCGATCAAACCCACTTCTCGCCTCTCTCTCTCTCTCTTTCCTCGAAATTCCTCTGAAGACGTAGACTTTTCAGACTTCTCCGTCTAGAGTGGAACGAGATGGGTAGACCCAAAGGAGATGCTGCAAGGAGCAAGGCTCGTCCTTCCAGCAGCAGGTGAAATCATCCTTCAATTCCTCGCGTTTGATTCCAATTTTTATGTTTTCGATTCTATGCTTCATTGGTTCGGTACTGAATTGAGCTTTCTGAACAGCTTGGCAGCTTCTCTGTTGCCGTCTGGCTCTGCAGCCGCCGCCGTAGGTTTTGGCGGCTATGTCGGTAGCTCTAGATTCGAAAATCCTCTGTCAAACGAAGACTCTGCTCCCTTCTTGGTACGTTTGTGCCTCTTTGTTAGATTCTGCCTATTTGTTTTGCCAGTCTCTCATCTTTGTGGATGGATTCTAGGATTTGGATAGTGAGGTGGCCCAACACTTGCAACGTCTTTCAAGGAAGGATCCTACAACAAAGGTAACGGCCTTACTGGGTTTCCAGTCGACTACAAGACCTT